AGTTAAATGGATTAAATGAAGCGTTGATGCAATAAGAATTTGCGCCGATGGATTTTAGTAATCGAATTAATCGATGAATCGTTTCAGCCCTACACAAAATACATCCAGTATGTACCTTTATGGCTTTTGTCTGTTTATTTTTATGATGTTTAACTTGTTTTCTTTAATGGCGAGTAAATGTGTCCACTAATGTGTCTTCTGTGCCAGTCGCAGCTTCTGCCTCCTCCCAGATCACCTTCCTTTTATTCTCTGAACGTCCACCTCTAAATGTGTATCGCGTCCTCCCTCTTTCCACAACACGCCATACACCTTCTCCTTGCCTCGCCTTTAATCTCGCTCTACTCTTTCTCCGCAGTATCCTTTCCTCCGTCGCTCCCTGTTTGCAGCGGAGGGGGTGAAGTTTAGGAGGGAGGAGGAGGGGAGGCAGAAGAGAGCCGTCTGGAATCCATTAGCCGGTTGAGGCATCAGTGTATCGCTGTGGGAACCTTATTGATTGCCCTCCTTTATAATTATTCCACCTCCACTCCCTCCTTCTTGCTCCTGCACAAATCATACTTTCAGTTTGTCTCTTTTTCCCCCTTCCCTTTCTCCCCTCTTTGCCTCTTTCCTGGCTTTTTTTATTGGGTGCTATTTTCATCCCTCTTATTTCTTCTTGCATGTTTCTTTTTTTTTTCAACTTTGCACCGAGTCTGCCTGCGTGCAACAAAACCCCTAACCAACCGAATGACAACACAATCTGGGTGTTTTGTTGATGGCATGTAAGATGTATTGACATACTTATCAGCAGCATGCAAAAGCTACCACATCCTACACAAGGAGAAAATCTGACTCACTCTCAAGTCTTTGTGTCGCACTCGTAGACACATGTGCGCACACACCCCTCTGTACTGTACAGTCACCTCCACGTGCTGCCTCATCTTGTACCTCCTCTTTATGCCAGCCATGTGCCCTTAGCTGCGTGTTACCATAGTGCCTTAAAAGAGATGTTGAAGGGTCAACAACAACAAAAGGAAACTTGCAGAGTTATTAGCTTTACTACAAAGCTATGTGCACTGAAGGAACACTATAGTGATGCTCAAAATGTGTCGTCTGTGAGTGAGCGCGATCCCATTTCTGCATTGACACACACTCCGATAGTTTATTGCTGCAGCAGGAGGAACGCCGTGGGGAGGAGTTTCACCCCAGTAAGGCTCTGGTAATACAGGTTTAGGTGATGCAAACTCCACTCGCCAGCAGTTTTTGGAGTTTGCAGACAACAAACCCCCCCCCCGCAGAGATCAAAGGTGAATCTGCGCTCGATCGCTGTTTGAACTGCTCAAAGACCTGATCTGAGACGTGGCCGATGCCTCGCAAGGCGCCCGAAAGATATCAAGCAGGCTAAATATCTGGGCGTGTTGGCGAGCTACAGCCAAGGAGAGCAGACACGGGCTCTGCAGTCATCTGCAGTAGCTCCATGAACCCGGTCTGATCATGCATCTATTTGTATGGAGGGGGCACAATAGAATCAGAATATACACAAGTTTTTAAGGATTTGTAACCTCGTCGACCTCCCTGAACCACAATACAAGCAGGCAGCTATATGTTGCCATTGCAAAAATATGTTTTATTTATTTTTATTTGTTAGCCTCCAGCTCTCTCTGCAGAACAGTAAATCATTGCTTTCCGTGTATCCCAATCCAGTCTCACCCACATTCTTTCCTTTTTCTGGGCATTTCCTGTGTCACCTGTTTTCGTGACTAAACGTAGTTTGGAGCCTAGACAGACTCATCTAGGATTCCTCCTGGTGAAAGATCTTGTCGTGTGTTTGTGTGTGAGTGAGTGTGAGAGACCCCCTGTCGTGCAACAGTCATGTAGTGGGCCAAACCACACCTTCACCAACAGAAAGTAGTGAAGTGAGAACAGTGTAGCGATTTGACGACGTTGTCATGCAGTGTGACCAAAGCAAAAAGGAAGCCAACTGGTCCTGATGAAGATGCCGTCTGACCAAACGGTGAAATAGCAGAGAAAGTACAAGTCTGTGATGAGTCATTTCCATTGTTTGATGTCCACTGAAGTTATTTTCCCTGATGTTTGATTTAACTAATGTATTTCCAGAGGCAAACAAAATGGCCCATCTCAGAGCTCTGGCTCCCCTATTTGTGCTCACTGTATGGATCATGCTTCCTGCAGGCTGCCACATAGCTATCGTGTCAATAACTGACACACTGCCAAAGCTTCCCAGGTGGGATTCACACTTTTGAATCTAGCCTCTGCACGTGCCAAGACATGCGCTGTAATTTGACTGTGTGAGACTAATAAGGCTGCAATTATTTGGTAGATAGGGCGCACTCAATCAATGGCCTTGAATGGCAGCTCTTGAAACCTGTGCGCTGTTAACAACCCCTGGTGAAATACAACCCCGTAGAAAGGAAGAGGCAAGGAGTTGCTATTGATTTTTCTACTCTGCTCGTTTTACTTTTCACTCCTCTTCTCTCCAGTCTTTCGCTCCTGTCAGTGGCTCAGGCAATGCACTTGGTATAATTTAGTTTTTTTAAGTAAGTAGTGCAACAAAGGGGTTTAAAATTCAGTTATGTTGAGTGCGAGAAACAATAGAAAAACCAGTTTAAATCTTTTGAAAAAATTCTTTTGGCATGTTGTGTTTATCTGTTATCACTCAGGAAAATGTTCAAAGAGCGCGGGACAGGCCGTATTGTCATACACGTCATTGCTTTACAAACCCAAAAAAAAGTTGACCAGAAAATGGTCATCCTCAGCTGAGATATGCTGCAAGTTTACGGCCCTTTTTCTGCACATGTGGTGATCACCGTGGTTTCCTAGTTAAATGCGATCTGACTAAGAGTTTTCAGGTATGACTCAATCACGGTTAACTGATATAGCTGGATTTTACTTGTGTGCACAGGTGCAGGTGTAAGATGCTTCATTGATGGTAATATCACAAAGATGTAAAGTATAAAAAGGGACGAGGCATCCAGAGTTGAGGGGAGACAACGACATTCCAGCCCTGCACGCTGTGGCATTTCAAACATGCCGACTGTCAAATAAATTGATCTAAATACTTTGGCGGAAAGTTGTGTCATAGGGTAAGCTGGCCACTGTGCACACGCAGCAGGCCTATTTGGAAAACCGCTGACTCATTAGTTTCCAGAACCTCTTCTTGGGAAGGAAAAAGAGAACTTGCGTGTCTATCTATAAATGTTTTACCAAAGGTTTTATTAATTTGACAGCTATTTGCCTTTCATGTAATTGTGGGCTGTCAGTAATGTTGAAAGGGGTTCATTTGTCCCACGTTTAGACCAGATAGAATCAGGATAAGAAGCTTTCATCATGTTGGTGTCCTAGCACGGCGTCCTCTGCTTAAAAAATAATCATTTTCAAACATTTTGCAGCCCCGACTAAAGATTTTCCTTGTTGACTAGCTGTTAGTTCAAGCCGTTTGTCTGTGGCTAAATAATTCTATTTAATAATTAATTAATTTTAACTTTAACTTTAATTATTTCAATATCTATTTTTGCGGCATCAGAAAATGGTGGAGGTCACACGCCTCTGGAGCCTCTTGTGACATCCCTTATGTCGCAATGTGAATTTAGCCCGGATCTCTCTCACCAAAGACGTGTCTTATCCACAGCGCCATCCCCGACCACAGACATTGTATAGAAATACAAAACTGTAATGATGACACTTTTAAAATACAAAATGTTACAAGGGGCACAAAGCGAGCCGCCTGTTAACGACAAGCGGTAGTGATCCTGAATGTGTCAGAAGAACCTGCAAGGAGACGCATTTCAACACAGTTGAACACCACACAAGTCTCGTTGTGTCAACAATCAGAATCAGAACGTGCTTTATTGCCAAGGAGTGTTTCACACACAAGGAATTTGCTTTGGTCATAATTCTACATCTATGTTTGTCTATGTGCAGCACCATAGACAAACATAGATGTAGAAATATAAATATGAAATAAACAAATGCAAGTTATATAAAAATAATAAAAGAATGTTATATACAACTATTACTACTAAACAGTGGATCACTTCACAAATTTGAGGTAGAATATTCAAAACAATTATGATAAAACCTTTGTCAACAAATATGCACAAGTAAAATGAAAAGCTTTTGTAGGTCCTTTTCCTCAACAAAATAAACATCTTAATAAAAAAACAAGTCCCAATTCATGTAATAAAATCAAACATTTATTGAAGACTTGTTATTGAAAAATTTTTTAATGTGATAATTATTGTTGTTGTTTATTGTCCAGCCATATCTTGTTAAGGTGAGATTTGTACCTCCCTCTGTGCATTTAAAAAGCATTATGATCTGATGAAGTTATTACCTAGTTAGTGCCTCATGTCTTTGAGAATACAGAAGGATTTACCAGCAGCAGCGTCAGGAAAGAATCAAGTCGGATGCATTTTTACAATTCACATCAGGACACATGAAGCCTGAAAGTTGTTGCTGTTATCGGGTTATTACATTAGTAGTGCTCTACACTTAATGGGGTTAGCACCATGTTGCCAGACAATGAGATCTGAATCATCACCACATCTAAGGCCTATTAGACGTTTAAAGCTGTAGGTTGTAAAAACCTAGAAACCAAATTGTGAGCACTTTGTTAAGTCTATTTATGGGTTTCATGTGGCTTAGGAATGGTGGGTTATTCTACACTTGAGTTTCCAAAATATAATAGTACCTATAATGATTAGTGAAATCTGAAGATTTTCTGATGATACTCAACCGGTTGTGACACGCTCTCGACGAGAATGAGTTTCAGTGTTCAGTGTGTGTACACCTGCTTTAACCTGCCTACTGCCATGAAAACACAAAAATACCCCGAAACGTCTTGTCACTTGCCTTTGTTTGAGTATAGCTACACAGTGACCACAGTGGTGTCTGTGTGTGTGTGTGTGTGTGTGCACCATTGTGTAATGCAGTGTTTACTCTGTGTGTGTTTGTGGTTGATAGCCGGCCCACTCATGTTTTCCTCTCACTTTGTGTCTTTGCAGGAAGTTCGGGGAGTGCCCTCAGCCACAGCGCCTGACAAGGTGAGCGTGCATACACAGACAACACAAGGCCTTGTTTTGTTGTCATCGTGGTATTTGTATGTCTACCTCTGTGTTGACACTACACATTCTTGTGAATACAGTAAAGAGTAAAATCCCATTAGATAAGTTAAAAGAATTACAAACGTCTAAAAGACACTCTTATTGACGTGATACGTGCAGGCCTAATTGCCGATTGCTGTCATTTGAATTTGACAGGGATCATGTCTTAAAAAGTTATAATCAGATTAGCACAGGACTTGTTGTAAAGATGGTTAATTAGAAAAGGGTGTAAAACCTTTCATGCGTAGTGCACTCGGCTTGCATGGTGCAAGTTTTTGATTACTCTGCCCCTCTTATGTTTGTTCCAAGTCATTTGGAGCAACATTTGGGCAAACATAACATTGATGGATGTTGTGGCTTGCTTCTGGAGGTTTGTGTGTGTTGCTGAGTAAATGGGTGTGTATGCTTGTTTGCTTGTTGGTGTTTCTCTTTGTTGCTGCGGACGGGCAAGAGTTTTGCCTTTCGTGTGTGTGTGCGCTGGTGCTCGTTCTTTTTGCGCGTGGCGCTCAGCGGGGAAAATGAGGGCTTGCACTTTGCCGGGAACAGCCGAGCATGGTTTTGGAAAAAGGGGGGGCCCCAGCACCTTTTGATGTGTCCCCTTGTTCATTCATGTGCTGCCAGTCAGCTGGCTTGCACCGGCCCCTCCATTTGTCTGATGGTTTCGATGGCCAGAAATGTGACACAGAACACTCTTTACCCAGCAGTTAGTGTGTGTGTGTGTGTGTGTGTGTGTGTGTGTGTGTATGTGTGTGTATGTGTGTGTTTGTACCCCAGTGTATCATGGTGTTGTGTTCTTTGTGTTTGTCTCTTTGTATCTGGCTCAGTGTATTCACGGCTGCATGTTCACTCACACCCACTTGTCCCCCTTCTTGCAGCAACAGCAGCCCTGTGATTTTTATGTCAGGCAGCAGCACGGGCAGCTAAAATAGTGCACTCGTCCTGCAGGGGCTTTTTAAGGGCAGCTAAAGCTCCGGGTCCTGCAGGGCCGCCCTGTCAGGAAGGCTACTCGACTGGAAATACAATACACGACGCACATACACTGGAAATGAGCGCACACACACACACACACACTCATCTTTGATTCAGACCGATGCACAAATCTACACACAGACACAAACAGCGTGAACATACAGGCTGGATAAGCCGCCCCTTCAAGGATTTATTCTCCCAGACAACAGAGGAAGGGCCAGCTCTGCAGAATCCAACGCCTCAGATGGAAATGCTCAGTAGAAAGCGCCTTTTAGTTATCTGCTTTGTCAAAAACACTTAAACTCAGAACTAAAATAATTTGGGCCAGACTGTTGTTTGGTCTGGAGTTGCACACTGGCATTTAAAATGTTTTGCTCTCAAGTCATTTTCTTCCAAATACATTTTTTCAACATTCCCCTGAGTGAAAAGATGCGTGCAGTTGATTGACAAGTGAATTTCCTGTTTCACTGTCACAAAATCAGCTTAATCTGCCGTTTTGCTTTCACTCTATACAAATTCTAAACATTTGTTTTTTCTTCACCTCCTTCATTTGCTCTTGATGCTGTAGGCAGATTTGTGCTGCTCTTTGTTTTCACACTGTTTAGACAGTAAAATAAGATCTTGTTGTTTTAGACTTTAAACTTCCTATCAGCGTTTTAGAGGCTCACAAGCGGCCGTCTGCAGATTCCCAGGATATTGAACAGGCACTTGTCTGTACGTTCACAGATGGAGAGTAGATTTAAAAGGAGGGCGAGCTGATGGGTAACGTCTCAGGTGGAGCGTGACACCGCGGATGTGTGTGATCTGCCTGTTTTGATTCACAAGGGCACACGCTAATTGCAGTCTGATCATTTTAATTGAGCTATTTTACAGTGTGTTATTTATTAGGATGCCTGTGTGTGTGTGTGTGTGTGTGTGTGTGTGTTCACAGGGGGTCTTGTGACAGCCTCGCTCTGCTGTAGACGCTGTGGCAGATGTACAGGACAGATGCCTGTCTGCTCGGCTGCATCTGTAGCCTGGCTGGACCTAGCCCCTCCCCTTGCGTGTGCACACACACACACACGCACACACACACGCACACACACTCACCCACCATGACCTCCCGTGGTGCCTGCTGTTGAATATGTGTCTCTTTTTGCGAATCTGTCTGGCACGTTTTTGCCTCACTTGTTACGTGCTTCTATTTCAGTTTTCTCTGGTATGTTTATCTCTCGCTCCATCTTTCTGTCCTGTACTACTAAACCCTGTCACCTCTTCTTCCTCTCTCTGACATTTGCTGATTGCCCTCAAGCACATTTTCTCGCCAACAAAAGAATTAAACCTGTCACTTAGACGAAGTTCCCCTGTCATTTGCTTCTTGTCCACCACTTTGCGCTGTGTGTTTGCTCCTGTGCTGGTTCAGCTCCTCTTCACTTTTACTCACCTGCATGTTGCGTGTTTAACCCGAACAACTGTGCACATGTTTTAGTTAGCTCACTGTAACGGGCAGGTAAACGGCCAGAATCTGCATCAATAATCTGCTGGGGTTGCAGAGGCTGCTAAACCGCCTGCCTTGACAGATAAAAAGTGTTTAATTTTTCTTGCTTGGATGTGGCATTGTGATCACTTGTCTCTGGCTGGGTTGCGTACTACTTTTTATATTATGTGTGTGTGTGTCAGTTTGAAATGCCCATTAGCCTCACCTCCTGTTGCTGATGAAATCTGATGAAATAAAGACTGAATGATTTTGACTCAGTTTGCTCTTTTTTTTCTTCTTTTTTAAATGTCCCTCTAGATATATTTTTATTTGAGTGTTTTTAATTGACCCTGTCCTTTTGTATTTATTTGCTGGTGCATAATCCTTGTTTATATGGATATGTTTTGAATTTTTTGTGTCTGCACGCTACTCTTGCATAGGAAGTTCAGTCGTGCACTGGTCACTGTCTCTCTCACTTCTGCTTCCTTTCTGTTCTCAGGAAGAGACCTAATCTTTATATTTTGTATGCGTTTCAGTATTTGTCAGAGGTGAGTGATTATTCGCACGTCCCTTTTGTCCCCTTCAGCGTCACTGATCCCTGCATCTTTTTAGTGTATATATTTCCCCCTTCCTTTCCAGGAGGTCACTACAGTGTGTTGCATAACAGTCTTTACCTCCATATTGTAATGAAATCAATTCTAGACAGCTTCTTGGGCAACACTGCCCTCATCATTCTCCAACTGTCATCAACTCATATAATCATGTGGCCTAAAATGATTGGTAAAGGTTTTTGACTTTGTATCTACTGACTTTTTACTAGCCCCTTAGCACTCAAACATCAATATTAATGGTGCTGGTGTGACAGCGTGGTACGGCAAGTAAATGCGTATTAGTGAATGGGCTGTTCTGTTTAGATGATGAATAGGCTACGTCTTATATCTAGATGTTTTTCAGTACACCGTTTAGATGTCTTACTCATTTTGACGGCGTTGCACTCATCTGCATTTTATATATTGGGTGTGTCATGGTCTTTAATTCCTGTTGAAGTGATTGTTTTTCCCCCTCTTTTGCATATGCTTTTAATCTCTGAATTCCCCCCAGCTGCCAGCTTTTCCTCACTTTGTGGCAATCGTCATGTACAGTGTATTTTGTGTGTACTTTGTCCAATATTTGATTGTGGTTGTACTATTCATACACAGAGTGCAATAGTCAAACCCATGGTGACTTTTATGGCTGCAGCGTTGCATCAGATGGAAATATTTTCAACGTCCTGTTCATTATTTCATACACATTTCCCCAAAATTCAGCCTGACATATTTGGTATCTTTGTAAACCTTGGGTTCCCCACTAGAATTTATTATAACATTCTGTGGGTTTGAACAATGCTTGGCTACGCAACACGAGTTTGTAAAACTGGACCCATCACTGGGTTTATGTTACTCATTTGATCACAGGGTATTGTGTTTCATTTGATTGTTGCCACATGTGGGGCATCTTTGTTATCTGTTCAGAGGTTATTTAGGGGATTGCGTAGCAGAGGACAATAGGTTAAGAACAAGTCAGTGAAAGCTTGATCTTACGGTGAAGTATTTCTGTCCTACCAGAGAATGGTCTCTCCCCAGCTTACCCGCAGTGGTCTGGAACGGTTTGGTGAGCAGTGAAAACGTGTTAACCACAAGCCAGGGCTGTCGCACGAAGCATTCCCAACACTAGTGTGAGATTCTGGTGTCATAAAATAACTATGCTGCATTGTGTTGGGTTATTTACTCACTCTCTTGGCTCGAATATAAGATGACATTTCATTATAGAGCCAGGGGTATGTGGCTGATTTTGCTTTTGGGGTGGGGGGGTCGGCGTTGGTTAACCGTGTAATAATTGGAGTTGGCAAGGTGGCGTTCAAATAGGAAGTTTAGCAAAACAGATGTTTTCATAATGAAAACCAGCAAAGCAATTAAGTTAACAGCACATGTAGGATTTAGTAATGCTATTGATATCAATTAAAACTGTAATTCATTCATGTATTTTGCTTCTTTTGTTCAACCAACTATTATTATACTATTTTAGCTAGGTATTTATTATTGTCGTATCATGCACTACAATGGGAGCTGATGAGAAACAACTTTTCATTTCTTTCCACGTATGCAAATACCCAGGGAAATGACACAGCTATTCAGGGCACACAAGTCAAAGGAAAGCTTTAAATCCTCTTAATTGCTAGTCTGGAACCACAGTTGCTATCTAATAACAGCAAAAAATTTAAAAAGCAAAATAGATGCTGATTCAAATTTGAATATAAATGCATTCAAACAGTGTATAAAATAAGTTGTGTGTTGTTCTGTCTGTGATGTCACCTTCCCTGCGAGGTCACAGGTGTCAGCAGAGGTGTCTGGTGACATGTGCCCTGCGGGCCTCACATCAGCAGGTTTGCACTGCGTGCTCTCCATATAATCAATCAGACCTGTGAGCTCCGGAGCCTCGCTGAGGTTTTTGTGTGTCTGTGTATGACACTGGTGAGCGTATCGCTCATAGAATCCCCAGAGGAAGGTGATGTCATGTAATGTAAACACGAAAAAATTGTTACTTCAGCAAATAAAGGAGAAATGTTTGAATCAAACCGCAGCTTTTCTGTGAGTTTGGCTCGAGTTGCGCACCTTTTTTTCCTGGCTTGGTTTAGGAAAGGAAACTAATTTTCTCCATGTGGTGTGTAAATGGTATCAGATTGCATCGGATCAGTGAAATGGCTTCAAATGTTTGGAATTCTAGGACTGTACCTCCATCATTTACAGTTACAGTAGGAGGAAATACCGAATATAAACAACAGAGTGTGATTTTGTATCTCTGTGAGAAGCGATAGTGATCGTCTCATCATAGTGAAGTGAGAAATAAAACATTTCCCAGTCCATTATGGATAAACCAAAATCGTTCTCGGCTTACACACACACACACACACACACACACACACACACTCTGTGAGGGGCCCCTTGCTTTTCATAACAAAGGCCCTGTCTAACCCGAACGTGTGGCCCAGTATTGCATGAGTGGAAAGCCGTGTGTGTCTGAGTGGGAAGCCCTCCGAGCACCCTAGCGTGTCGGGTGTCACTGACATCTGTGCGTGTGCTCTGATTGGGTCAGGGTGTGTTAATGTCCAGTGTGTGCGACGCATCTTAATTGTGCATCTAAGCCCAATCTCTGACCTCCCTTGCAGGCCCGGCAATAAGCCCTACTGGTCTCCCAAACATTGAAATAATTTTAGGCCTGTTTGCATAGAGGTGTGGGAGGGTTTGGTGGAGTTGACAGAAGTAATTGGAGTGCGGGCTTTGCAACATTTGGACACGAGATGAGGAATCTTTGCTGGTGAGCTCAGCTTTGTTGTTTTTAGATTTTTCAGCTCTGGTGTTCTCCCCCCCCCCCCCCCCCCCCACCACCACCACCACCCCTGCTCCTCCTTCTCTTCTCCCCCATGTTCCTTTTCCCTTGCTCCTCAGTGTCCCTTTGAGCCGGACATTAAAGGTTCAGCCCACCTCAAACGGACCCAGCTAGTGGAGAAACATAGCTTTTTAGCTAGCAGGTTGTGCAGGCTTTCCAGAGGTCACTGCAAGTGTACACTCTCGTTCCATGCTTCGCACGTTGTTTTTTTTATCCGTCTACACTAAAGCATTGCCTTTAAAAACCTGTTCCTCTGTACACAGCGACCCCCCCCCCCCCCCCTCCAACACACACACACACCGACCCCCTGAAGCTCCCTCTTTGTCAGCTTTAGGTTTCAACACACCCAGTATCACTTCACCTCATCTGCCAGATAACATTAATGGGCCTGCATGTAAACACATTTCTTTTTTTCTTTTCTTGTCATCTTGCAGAGAAGCGATGAGGAATTACCTGAAGGAGCGAGGCGACCAAACTGTCATGATCCTGCATGCAAAAGTTGCACAGAAATCCTACGGCAACGAGAAAAGGTGAGTGAGATATAAACAGCAGCTTCTTCCCTGGTATGCCTCTTTTATCGAGGTTTCCTCGGGCCTGGAGAATCATTGGAATAAAGTGAAATAAGGTTTTTGAAGTTTTAACAGATTCATAGATGGGGAAATGCAAGCAGTTTTATCTGTAGATCTAATCTCCCTGGATCTCTCTCCAGTGTAGGATTAACACTTCACATCCATAAGACTGATCTCTGGTCTTGGAGGTATAGTTCATCGCTTTGGGGAAATGTAATTTATTTTAGATTAGATCAGAAGATGTTCGATGAATATGAAGCTGCAGTGGATTGCTTAATCTCAGGACTGGAGACTGGTTGAAGCAGCTAGCCTGGCTCCGTCCAACAGTAACACTATCCACACACCACCACCACCTCGAAAACTCACTAATTATCACGTCATAACTTGTTTGATCTGCACAAGCTGTAGCTTCGCAGGGGATGATGTGCCAGATTATTTCTTGGCTGGGAGCAGGCCAGCTGTTTCCCCCGTTTCCAGTGTTTATGCTAAGCTAAGCTAACTGGCTGCTGGTTATAGCGTTAGATAGATATGAGAGTGGTGCTGTTTTTTCTTCATCTTCCACGTAAGAAGTAAAAAACCCTTGTGTGAATGTGTCAGCCTTTCTTAATGAATGATTAAGTAGCCTTCGTACACACTGCCCTATTGTTTAGTTCACTGATTGCAAACAGCTCAACCTCAAAGAGACTTATTAGCATCATGTAGAAACACAAACTTGGCCCTGGCTTCTCGTCCTTGTCCACCTTTGAGAAGCGGACCCTTTCATTGCAAGGATTTATGGACAGGTAGCGTCTGTCACTGAAGGGGATCGGGCTAAGGAGTTAATGGAAAAACACACATTCCAGCTTGCCTCTGTGCAGCGCTGGCATCTCGACCCCTCCTGACCTGCTGTATCAAAAAAGTTCGGAGGAGGAAACGAGTGGCGACCTCCTGCATGAGGCCACGTTTAGGTGAAGGCCGCAGAGAGGCGGAAGGACAGGGGAGCGTGGGGGGGGGGTCAGGAGTTATGGGAATGAGGGAGATAAAAAGGCTCTTGGTGGGAGTGTGCTGGTGAAACCGTGGGGCATTTAGGTGTAAGGGTTCAAGGATGAGAGCAGACAGGTCTCTGTGGTTCATCGACCGGCCAACTTAACCTGATGCTTTCTTGCTTTTTTGTAATTTCCACTCAAGTGCAGGGTGATCACTGGCTGTCTCAGCCCCCACTTTTTTTCTCTGTCTCTGCAACTCGTCTTCTATTCCTCATAACCTTTCCTGTAACTCTGCTCTCACCTTTCTACCTCTCACTCTCAAACTTTTTGTAGCCCCCTCTTGCTCATTACGCAACTCTTTTCAGCACTCCATCCGCCGCCTGTTTTCTTGGCCCGAGCTGCAGCTCTGCCTGCGATCTCACCGGGCCTATCTCCTGGCTAAATCAGCCGTTTGCAGGCCAACTCCGAGACACCTCGGAGAGTTGGAGCGCAACAGGGGAGAGAAAGATGGGAGAGAGGGGCTGAGACTTAGATGAATTCCTCAGATAAAGTGTGGCTGACTCGTCCAGTTAATGTAAAACGAGTGAGGCAAACGGCATCAAAAGGAACCACTCAAACACTGTATGCGTGCACAGTTTCAGGATCAGTGTTGCCGGATTGTGAGTAGCTGAAAGACATGCCGATGAAGGGCTTTAAGTGTGGATGCTGATGTAAAACCACAGCGTCTGTAACCAGCTGGGTCACAGACAAGTGTCTGAATTAGCTACTTAGCTAGTCCCAAAGGGATTTCTGCTGCATCGCAGTCACAACACTCACATCACATATAAAAAGTGAAGTTCGTGTTTCCACAACCTTTGGGCCTGCAAAACCCCACAGTGCTTATGTCATATGTGTCTATCTTGCACCTCTGACGACTTTCGCCCCTGTTGTAAGAAGGGAGCCCAAGAAAGTGGGTGCATGGAGAATGCAAATGTGCCTTCTCCCTCCTTTCGAGCTGCCTCTTTTCTGTCTGTGCTTTTTATAGGAGGTGAAAGTAGACAAACACCCACAGAGACAGACACTGGTGTTGCGAAATAGGTCGCTTTCCAGTTCCACACTGACGCACATGCATTTATTTGAAGTGTGCTGGTTGAGCTATGAGTTGATTTCCCTTTTGATAAGGCATTTTTTCTAAATGGAGTTCTTTTACTTGACGTTAGAAAGAGCTTCAAGGGAGTAGAGCAGGAAAAGTATGAAATCCTGAAATGGAAAAAAAGTTACCTTTTTTTTTCTTGAAATTCTGGTTTATATGTATTTCAACAGATCACTTTCATGCTGGGCTGATCATGTTAACATCTGCTAAATTAGACTTGCCAGTTTTAGGAAAGTGTTTAGTTCAATTGTACATAAGAGCATAGTTTCTGACTGTCATGTGGAAGCAAAGTACAGGTCTGCCCTCTTCTGGTGTAAATTAGGAAATGCATGTTCAGTTTGTACAATTTAAAGAGGTGTTGTTGGGGTTTTATTTAGTCAGTGACATCCAGGCTAAAATTGCTGTCTTGCCCGGTGACTGTATCCTTGAAATGTGCTTTTCAAAATGTATTTCTTTGTTGACATGTCTTGACTTTTTCAGGACAAATAATGTAGAAGTTGTTCTTAAAACCACCAAACCTTCTGAGCCGTCCATGTAGTGGTCCTTTTGTTTTTTTTTTAAATCCACAAATGGATGGAACATAACATACCTAACAAGCTCAAATATTACTAACAAGAGCTAAAAGGGTCACAAACATTTGGTGTCTGATGTGGGACCTGCTCAGCTGGGACCGTTCAGGTGGCCTCTTTAGCGTCTGCTACCATTAAAAAAAATGCATACTTGAATATCTGTGAGGAAGAAAAGAGGGCATGTTTTAGATGGTTTGAGGGATTTGAATGAAAAAATTTAATATTTGTGCATGTGTCCAGGTTCTTCTGCCCTCCTCCCTGTGTTTACCTGATGGGCAGTGGCTGGAAGAAAAAGAAGGAGCAGATGGAGCGAGACGGCTGCTCTGAGCAGGAGTCGCAGCCATGTGCCTTCATCGGCATCGGCAACAGCGACCAGGAAATGCAACAGCTTAACTTAGAGGGAAAGGTACAACACACACACACACACACACACACACACACGCGCACGCGCACAGAGCATCACTCTGTTCTTTACCTCAACACAAACACACACATAGTTACTCACAAGAAGATACACAGCTTGCCACCAGGCAGTATGGGAAGTCTCTTGTTTACCGTTGGTGCATTTGAGGGTTTTTAATTCCACCATTGACTGTGGTGACAATTATGTAAGAGATGATGTGGTAAAACATCACTGAAGTTGCTAAAGGAATGTGAGCTGTGTTCTAGTATCACTGCAGTGTTTTGCCTTTTTATTAGGACAGAATGCATTGATCTAATGTGTTCTGATTTCTCTCCCCTTTGCCCATGTCTTCCTCTCCTTCCCCCGCCGTGTCCTCTGCTCATCGGCAGAATTATTGCACAGCCAAAACCTTGTACATATCCGACTCCGACAAGAGAAAGCACTTCATGTTGTCTGTCAAGATGTTCTACGGCAACAGCGCTGACATCGGTGTCTTCCTCAGCAAGAGGATCAAAGTCATCTCCAAGCCCTCCAAAAAGAAGCAGTCCCTGAAAAACGCTGACTGTAAGTTTGTCCTTGTCTGTGCCTTAGACACAGTGTGTGTTTGTCAGTTATTTCTGCCGGGGATACTGATGAGTTCTGATGGCCGTGGGAGTCTTTTGCTGTGGTTTGTGTTGCACAGAAAATATTGGCCTACATGTTTAATTTTGGGCAAAGATTAAATGTTAAACACTACGATCAGCCTTTACAATATTGCACACTATTTTAACAGAAATTAAGCTTTGGATTTTAAAGAGGTGGTATTTTCAGGTTCAAAAGCTTTATTTGTTTTACTTGGTTTCGTTTTCAAAAAACACAATTTTTTTTTTGTCATACTGCACATTGCTGCAGCTCCTCTTTTCACCCTTTGTTGAAGGCTTTGTTTTAGCTATGGAGTGATAAATCTTACCTCTAAATGATCTTTGTTGGGAGTTGCACATGCGCAGTACCTAGTTAAGGACTACTAGCCAATCAGGAGCAGAGTAGGTTGAGCCCTGAGAAGCCGGTAAACAGCTTCGGTTCAGCTGTATATGTTGCCGACCAGCTTATCAACATAGACAGGAGCAAGAGTTTCAGAGTGGTGAGTTATTAATCTGTAACAAAAGAATCTTTCATCCATAACGTTTTAACTGAGCTCTGTCTCTACATCACTGTAACAACTTTATGTCCACTGTCTGTCTGGAGGGTAGCTAGTGTCTGCCAGGCTAGCATTATGACGCCTGTTTCACTGATGTCACAGTAAAGAGGAAGAAACGGCTGGGCTACAAACGAGCTGTTTTCAGGCAGTTCAGAGCAGAGTTTTCTGTGGGAGATGGGAACTCCCTTTGGGCTTTTTCACTTTGCAAACCTATTACATGCACAAAAAAGGTATATAACTCAATAAAGGAGAGGGGGAAAAGCCAAAAAGCATAATACTACCTCTTTAAGCATTTCCGTCTTTAAATGTCCACATCAATATTACTTTTCACTTATTTATTTATGTACTTTTACTTTATTTTTACTTTTATACTTTATTTATTTGATTTTATTTAATTTTAGCACGGAAATGTTTTAGTTTGTGTAGAAAGGTGTTGAAACAATAGTTTATCATTATTAATATTTCCAACCACTAGAGGTCAGTGTAGCCTCACACAAGTGTCCAGCACACCTGTAATGCACACTGCCGAGGTTATCACACTGTTAACACAACTGTCCTGAAAGCAGCATGTCATGTTTGGGTTGTTATGTAACCTGCCCGTGTGTGTGTGTGTGTGTGTGTTCTTGTTCATGTTTATCCTCAGTGTGCATTGCATCGGGGACCAAGGTGGCGTTGTTCAACCGGCTTCGGTCCCAAACAGTCAGCACGCGCTATCTACACGTGGAGGGCGGCAACTTTCACGCCAGCTCCCAGCAGTGGGGCGCCTTTTACATCCACCTGTGTAAGCCTCATTCACCCTGAGCCGTCGGTGGTACACAAACATCATGCAAACGATTTTTAGAAAAGCTTCACATCATGCCGACGTTCAGCAGGAGTAAAGTGAGGACTGTGGTTTGACAGCTTGTCACATTGTCTTCACGTCTCTTTCTCTGTTGTAAATGCAACCCACGCTGTATTAAAGTTATTACACAGCTGGTTCATCACAGACAAAGAGAAAATGATTGATTGATTGATTGAATGTGGGTTTGTGTAAATAGGAAATGTTGAGGCTCGTGGGTGGCTCGCCGCAGCACTGACTTCTTCTCCCCTTCGTTTTTCAGTGGATGACGAGGAGTCAGAAGGAGAAGAGTTCACTGTGAGAGACGGTTACATCCACTACGGCCAGACTGTCAAGCTGGTTTGCTCCGTCACTGGCATGGCCCTGCCCAGACTGGTAAAAGAAACGAAATAGAAAGAAATAGAAATATATAGATAATAGAAATAGAAACTAATGATCCCAACGGGGATCACAGCAGCTGCTAAGATTGAAAAAGAATAAAGAAAATAACATCAAAATGCAAATGGGAGCTATTGAGAAGAATAGCTTGTCAGGGAAACTCTTATTGCCTAAACAAATGTCTTTATGATATCGTCCTTATCTTAAAGGAATAGTTTGACATTTGGGAAATATATTATGTGCAGTGCTATTTCTTGGTCTGGTGAATACACCCCCTGTCCTCCCTCCCTCCCGTTTTTCCATCATTCCCTTCCCCTCCCTCTCCCATCTATCTTCCAGTTGGCTAATCTCTGTCTCTCTCTCTTTTCCCCTTTCAGATAATCCGTAAAGTGGACAAGCAGACAGCGCTGCTGGACGCCGACGACCCTGTCTCCCAGCTCCACAAGTGTGCCTTCTACCTGAAGGACACAGAACGCATGTACCTGTGCCTTTCCCAAGAAAGGATCATCCAGTTTCAAGTTAGTGTCTCAGCCAGTCTGTCACGTCTGCTGTCTCTTCGCCTGTGCACATAAAATCAGGGTTTGAGGTCACTTCACCCTCAGATCCAGTTAATCTCATACAGTTCACAGATGGTTGAGGATGATTGCGTTAGCAAAGCATGTGCAGTCTACTTACCTCCAGCATTTTTTACTTGTTAAGATAGTTGCAAAGCCGAAGGGGGACGTTTGATTGCAGCCCTGAGGCGAGTAGTCTTGATTGAGCGTAATAGCTAGTGGTTATCTCTACCCCTGATGTGCCCTCCTTTCCCTTCTGCTAGGCCACTCCATGCCCAAAGGAACCAAACAAGGAGATGATCAACGACGGCGCCTCCTGGACAATCATCAGCACAGACAAGGCCGAATACACTTTCTACGAGGGCATGGGCCCCGTCCACTCGCCTGTCACCCCTGTGCCTGTAGTAGAGAGCTTACAGGTACACACTGGAGAGACGTGACTGTGGATGCACAAACGGCAACAAAAGATTTTTAGCTTTGTTGTACTTCCACAAGTCCCTGAACATACATCAGCGCACAGTGTAGGATTAGGACTTACTCTTTTTTTTGTACATTTCCTTAAAATGATCATCTTTGTCTGCAGCTAAACGGTGGCGGCGATGTCGCCATGCTGGAGCTGACGGGACAGAACTTCACTCCAAATCTGCGGGTCTGGTTCGGAGACGTTGAGGCTGAGACCATGTACAGGTGTGTCTTTGCTTCGGTTTCTTTTTACTTTATGATTTTCTGAGAAATGTACTGTGTTTCTTTGGATTATTCCCCCCGCCGCCTGTTACTTTTTATGCACACTGTATTTTATCACACCTACTTATAGGCCTCTTTTCATTTCTTGGCCAATCATCATCTTCTCCACACTATGTAGATTATTTATGCCTAAAAGCATACAAATTGTGCATTAGAGCGATTTATTAGGGATCATAAAGTTCGGCATCAAGTGTAATGAATATAATGGAGATGTGAATAAGTTAGTATTGTAATTTGAATTAAAAAAATACTCTCTGTCAGACATAATGCTGCAGATCCTGTGAATGTGTAATGGCACAATTGGCTACTGCAAGAAACAGATAGTATTCTCCGCTTTAGTGATTCAGCTGGCTACTATATCACACGAGTCAAGTCGTGTAATCCTTCACACCTGTGCAGCGAGTTTGAAGTGAACCAAAAATGTTTAAAGAGCCAAGGTACTGTGACATTACACCCTTGTAAAATGCCATCGCCTTGGCTTTGCGTCTTATAGACTGATTTAGATTTAAGTTGTTTATCAGTGCCACCCACCGAGCATCAAGTCAGAGACAGTGGAGGAGTGTGAATGTCCACGACCGTCAGTTGAGCCGAGGGACCTCCCTGACTGCAGTCCTACAGCCCTCTGAAATGCCTTTATGTTGATGTCTCACACACATATTATCCTACCTTTATATATAATAAGATTTCCTGGCTTTACAAATGTGAGCTTTTAATAGATTTAGCATTAGGCATTATGAAAGAACCATTTACGTAGTGGTAGCGATCCATTTTAATAACTCTTGTATCAGACCGGACAATTTTTAATCGTTGTGATGAAGTGAACGATTTGGTCTGGTATTTGATTTGCTGAATTATCAAAAAAAACATACGTTTTCTTCTGGTATATAGTTTTCTGACTTTCCTGACAATTCAGTAATATAACAAGTGATACCTTTTACAGATATCTGGCCTTGGAATTTAATGCATCATGACAGGCTTTTATCCATATCGCTCCCTCTCAGACAGACACAAGTTAACGTTTGTCTCCACTTTCATTAACAGACAATGGTGTTTTGCATTTACATATTGTGGCTGTCCAATAAAAACCATGTAAATCCAGTTTTTCCGATTTCTAATGTTTCAGTTAAATTAGAAGATTACGCATGTTAGATTTGGTTTGAAAAACATTTTCCTTCTTTGTGAGATGAAAAATGATTTTAAATATCCAAATTTACAGTTTTTTTTTTTAAGCTTATGATGGCATTTTGGAGATACATGAGTTTGTTTCTTCAAGTTACAAATATAACCTCCATTTCAGTGTTTCCCACAGGATTTTAAGAGACTATGGTGGGAGGGCCTCAGACCTTCTCACTTTTTTATACATTTTAAAGTTAAATGCATTAATTTGGTGCAAAATTAAGAGTCTATCAATGCCTAAGTTTGTATGCTTGTGAACACAACGTTAGCGGTCTGTAATGTTGCTATGAGATGTGTAAAAATATTTTCGGTTCATTTTGAAACTGTGACAGAGCAAATTAGACTGTGGTTGGCCACCATGGTCTCGTTAATTAATGGGAAACACAGCATTTTATTATCGGTTATTTTCAATGTAAAATAGTGCTTTCAATTCTAGTGTTTTAAGGAATCCTTCGTAGGGCCGCAACTAATGATTTATTTCACCATTGATTAATCTTTTGGACTATAAAACGTCAGAAAATAGTGAAAATTGTTCCCTGAAGCCAACGTTGATGTCTTTTTAAATTGTTTTCTCCAGCCAACAGTCTGATTTATTGTCACATAAGACAAAGAAAAGTAACAAATCCTCAGACCCCAACAGAGAAGTAAGAAGGGAATCTTTCGGTGATTTTCCTAAAAATTGGATTTTAGCGATTATTTGAATATCAATAGTTTGCAATTAATTTTATGTAAATCAACAGTTCAATTCAAAACAAATCAATTAACAGATTAATTAATAGTTTCAGCTCAAGTTGTCATAAGAAAGTACAATAAACTGGTTTTACTTTTTGAGCTATTGTAGAGGTTTAGGTGTTACTTGGATACCTCATTCTGAATCAGAGCTCTTCAAGGCTCAAACACGAATGAACAAAGAGACCCTTGATAGTTATCTTGTATCACGAGTCTGTATTGTACGTTGCCCTCACTCTTTGTGTTCCTTTTCCACCAAACACACTGCAGGTGTGCGGAGAGCATGCTGTGCGTGGTGCCTGACATCTCCGCCTTCCGCGAGGGCTGGCGCTGGGTGCGGCAGCCCGTCCAGGTGCCTGTCACGCTGGTTAGGAACGACGGCATCATCTACTCCACCACACTGACCTTCACCTACACGCCGGAGCCCGGGCCGCGGCCACACTGCAGCGCCGCCGGGGCCATCCTGCGGGCCGGAAGCTCCAGCCTGCTCAGCAACAGCAGCCAGGATTCCGGCCCTGGCGTCTACGGCCCCAACAGCACCTCCAACACGGGAGTCACATCCTCATCCTCTGCCGCCGCAGCTGTGGTCTCCTAACGCACACAGGGGGCCACTCGTTACAATATGCCTTGAGAGCAAATGTACCGCAAAGGTATATAAAGACTATGGGAAATAAACAAAAACTGACTCACTCTAAAGTGCTGCGTATTAATTTTGGATACAAAGAAGCTGAAAAGGAAAACTTGGTGGGAGAAAGGAGCAAACGCAGGGGAAAACTGAAGGAGGAGCGACGTCACAACGCTGTCAGCCAATAGGAATAAGTGAAAGTGCTCCTTGAAACCCCCCCCACCCCCACCCCCCCCCCCCTCTTTGGTTACTTTAGGGACCTGCCTATACAGTTCTGGTGTTTGGAATGAGTGGAGTTCCTGCAGGCTCAGAGCACCAGCACCTTTCTACGGCTGTGAGAATGGAAACCACAACAACAATACATCCAACATGTCGCCGTGTACAAAAAAAAATCTCTTGAAAGTATATTTTTTTGCCCCCGCCCCCCTTCCACCACTTGTTTTATAATTATTCCTTTTGTTTTGTGTTATTTTGCATTCGTTCCTTAAAGGGGGCTGGATGTATTGTTGTTGGAGGGAGCGCAAGGATGCCGAGGGACACATAAAACGTGACGATAACATAGTTTTTATGGACCAAGGATCTTGTATAAGCTTTAGTAAAGGTACATTTTTCTCCATACCTTTTTTGTATTAAACATATAGTACACTTTTGTTACCAAATAGTTTCTATTCTTCCTCTGAGCTTGGGCTTTGTTTTCCCCCTTTGAGGTCCAAAATCCCAACCTGTATGTTACTGCGACCTTACTACAAACGCCTGCTTTTTCAGTCTTTGGATTGAGCTTTTTGTTTGTTTTGTTTTTTTTCCTTTTGATACTCTTGCTTCTTCTGATGGGGGGAAAAATCTGAAGTCTGGGTTGTTTATTTGCGTAAGCAAAGGTTGCTTTTTGGTTTTTTTGGTTTTTAAATTGGGGAATAACCTCAGAGGGCCTATGTTTTTATCATTGGTTTTTATGAAGTCTTTAAAAAGAAAAGCTTTAAGCAACGCCTCTGCCTTGCCTGCAATACTCTATGTGCGCGATGTCTCCTTTGAAAAGTATACACATCAGTACATCTCACATGGAGCCATAGCAACATTTGCAGAATACATGAAAAAATAGACTTCCATGGTTACGAAAACAAACTCGGTTTGTCATTTTCAAACTATAGTAACGAGCGTAGTCACTGACTTAAAAGGATAGCCTTAGTACTGTATATTCTTACTGTGTACACATTCAAACCAGTCACATATCTTATATCCTGTGTCTGTTGCTTTATTGGTCACTGTATCAGATAATGTAGTGAAAGTTGTCTCTCCAAACTGCACCTAGCCAGGTGTCTTCCAGTGTGTGCTGTAGTTCTGTTGGCATTTAACTCCAGTGGTTTTCCAAAAAAAGACTTTTCAATACTCTTTTCAATTTGATGTGGCCTTACTGATAACTTCAATTACAAAAAAAAATACTTCATCTTTTTCTTATCTGTTGTTAACTCACCTTGGAGGAACCTGTGCATAGCACACAAACATGCTAATGCCTCGCTTCTTATCACAGGAGCTCTGCTGTTTGGAGCTCGTTGAACCACCTTGTCGTGCATAGCAGCCTTCTGAAGGATCTCTTAGCCTTCGTCTTTTGGTGTACAAGTACAAAGAACCCCGTTTTTTATTCTCATGCCGGTGCCCAGCACCTTTTCACTTTTGGTACAATGTCTCACGAGCGCTGTAAGCTCTTTTCAGCCTTCTTTTTTTTTAAAAAACAAAACAATCTCCTGTGGTTTATTATCTTTGCAGAAACGTGTGTGTGTGTGTATGTGTGTGTGTGTGTGTGTGTACATTGTAAACGCACTGTCTAAGTAGTTGCACTCATCTGTGTTCATGCCGACCGCGTCTCCTGTAGGAGTATAAAGGCCTTCTTAAATGTGTATTATTGCAGATGTGCAGTTCCAAACATAACAGCAATATTGTACAGGTCATTTCATCGTCTTTGTCTGCCTGAGCACTAGTTCACCAGCCAGTGTGCGTGCGTGTGGGTGACTGTCATATGTAGTTGCCGTAATGGAATACTGAGTCAGACTCGCTCCATTTCAACCAACCGCTCTCCAAAAAGGAAAAAACCTTTGAGATTCACGGGTCTTTTCTGTCTTCCACCCGGATCCAAATGTCTTATAATTGTGGATAAACATTCAAAGGCAATACTTGTGATTTTAGTATTACAGTACAACTGTAAACTCTTCCGGGGAAAAAGGAATAGAACAACGATACTGTAACTTGAATGTCTGCTTAATGAAGTAATTTCAGAATTTTTCTTACAAACAAACCCTTGAAATAGGAACAAAAAAGGATTCGCTTGCACCCCCTTCGATGTAAAAAAAAAAAAGAAAAAAAGATGAACTTAAGTTATGCCCCCTGTTTCGGCACCCTGCCCACCTGTCAGTCATTAGTGTAAAATGTTTTATATTGTAATAATGATATTTTTTAAATTATTGGTACAAAGTCTCCCCTTATGTCAGGAAAAAAAAAGAAAAGAAAAGTGCATTATTGCCCGTGCTGCCTAGGTTGGCCACTTTCTGTCTGTCCTGGAATTGTGGAGGACTTGGTGCTGCAGCTGTAATGTAGCATCCAAACCTAATAGTTGCGCTTCTTCACGCTGAAGTCTTGTGACGAGCTGCAGGTCAACCTGAATTCTTTTAGTCTGCAGGATGGAGGTCACTAAATCCCATCTGTAGATTTTTAACCTGCGTGTTTTCTCCATGTTTATTAGCTCTAAATTCAGACAGTTTTTAACATAGCCTCCACATTTGCATCACAACCCCCTCTGAGCTTGGATATTTTGGGGTTTTTGTTTACAGTCGAGTTGCCTCTTTAGGCCGACCACCCCTGGCTCCTCTTCATCTTCCTCACGCGAGTCTGAACAGAGCAGCTTTGTCACATTCGCTCAAACTAATAAAGGGGGTGGTGCACGCTGTTTAAAAATAATAATAATGTGTCGCCTTGACAATCCGAGCTGGTTTACAGTTAGTTTTTCTCTTCAAACGTTCTGCCGTTTTGAGAGATAGGGAGGGTCCAGAATAACTTGATCACATGCCTTGCTCACGAACTGTCAAAAGCGGTCAGAAAAATGTTACATGCCTTCTTGGAAAAAATAAATAAAACGCACGCTCTGTTAACCTGGCGACAAAGCTTTCAGAGAGGGAATCAAATCTCATTAGCGATGCTTTTACAAAATGGCTTAACCAGTTTCTTTCTACTTCGTGTCTGTCTGGTCATATTTGTTTTTGCTCTTCCAAAAGCAGCTGTTCTTGTGTGTGTTTGTTTTTTTTGTAATGAGCTCTGAACAATGTATGTATCCTCTAATATGCCAAATGTCTTTTTTATAATGTAGTTTTCATGCACTGCTAAACAAAACAGGGCAGAGTGAGAGGCAGCTTTAAACAAATAAAAAAACAAAACAAAGGAGTGTGGAGCCCTTCTCTGTCGCACTCAGCCTTACTTCTCCTTAAGACTTATCTGGCTGTTTGCACTACAGAGCGCTAACCTTTCTCTTTCTCTCACACATTTCATCCTCACTCGTCATCGCTCATGTTTATGTATGTACATTTGGAGTGTTCTCACTTTCTCCTCTTATTTTATTTTATTTTTTTTTTGGTTTTAACATGCAGCCTGTTATGCTTAGCTTTGCTACAGTTGGATCACTTTTTTTTCTTGTCATCCCCCCCCCCTCCTTCTCCATGTCCTTTCACTATCTTTCACTCTCACTGTGTCTGTGTATTATTCTAGTAAATGGTAAGCAGAGGTGTCATTGTGGTAGTATACTCAGTGCTCCAAAGGGTTGCTGATGGTAGAAACCTGTGCCGTTTGTAACATTTAGCAATAATGTCAAAACAAAGGGGACGGTTTTTTGATAACATACGTTAGTTTGTTTTTTGTACATATTGCAGCTCCAGGTCATGCTCAAATCTGTATGTCATTAAAAGAAGAAAAAAAAAAAACAAGGAAAAAAAAAACTTGCAATATTGGCATAAAAATGAGAAATAAAAAAGGTGATATAAAATCTTGCTTTGTTTTGTTTTTAATTGTCATCAGAAGCATAAGCATGTACATTTTTTTTTAAAAACACTTTAAACCCAAATAATTCAGGTTTTAACTGGAAAAGAACAAACAAATAACACAGACTTGTGTATCTTTTATGTGAAGTATAAACATCTTGTTAAGCTGTTTTCATCTCCCCCTCTGGTGACAGTTAAGCATCTCCCAGTGGCTGCAGGGTGAAGATGGGAAGGGCTTTGGGCATCTACCAAGCCCAAATGGAGCTCTTATCCCTGGGAAGTAGTCCCAGCAGATTCCCCCTTTTATTTCTGCCACTTGTCTGGCTGGGCCCTAATGCCCTCTGTCCTTTTAGAGCCACTTTTATTAAAGCTGTTAAAAGCTCCGAGTTTCTCTGCCCCGAGTCTTTGCCGACACAGTTGCACTCAATGTCTTTATATGGTCAACCAGACGTTGGTTATGCGGAGATGCGTTTTGTGTCTGTACATAACCAAAGGAATACACTACCTTTCCCAGGACCACTTCCAGATGTATATGACAAACCTGTAAAATCACAGGGATTACATTCAACTATGTGCCCGCAGGTTTATCATGCAATCAAACAAAATACAAAAATCTTCATTAATGCGTCAAAACCTAAAAGTAGGAATTTATACAGCAACACTGAGGCTGTACAATTAACCTCGCAACATACAGTGTTGAAACAAGAAAATAAAATGCTACATTAACTCTGCTATATTTAACAGTATGAATCAGTGGAAATCAGGTGGGTAATGCCGGGAATTCACTCTTTGAAGAAGAGGTGGGGAGACAGGTGTTCAAAGTCCCACTAAATGATAAGGCCTCTCCAGTTCCTGTAGTACACACAGCACCACCCCCTCAGACACACACACACACACAGACAGAGTGGGTCAAGGATGAGAGCAGAAGTCTTTGTGCACTGGAGGGCTGCTTTGAAGCTACTGAGTACAGTTGGTGCCGAGGTTCTCCCAAGTTTTTCTGTCACAGAGGCCAAAAAGTTCATTTTTATCAATCATTAACAATACAGGCGATTGGAATAAACAAGATTCATGTTAGCATTAGCGCATTTTTGTTTATTTATGTCGCAACATGAATCATTTTCATGCAACTTTGGCTCCGCTCAACATCCACAACCCCCTGAAGTGGCTCTAGCCCCCCCCCGTTCTGAGTCAGTGTGACAGGCTGCTGCTGCTGCTGAAGATCACAAATAAAAGCCTGCTTACAAATATGAGTCTGAAAAAAAAATTAAAGGGCCATACCAGAGATTTTTGACGTTCTAGCCAATTTCCTACAAATCATGACTAATTTACGTTACTGTTGATGATTTTGTGTTTTTTTAAATGTCTTTTCCCATCTTGCAGGCGGCCATTAGTTTGCAGTTATTTCCATACAGAAAGTCAAATGTTGGACTAGTGTAGTGCATCACAGTGAATGTTAAAAGGAATTTGTTGACATTTTGGGGAATAAGCTTATTTGCTTTCTTTCTCTGTTAAATATGGATCCATTGCCTGGAGGGCTTGAGTTTAGCTTAGCATACGGCGCATTAGTACACCAACAGGAACAGCTTACTGTTTATACTATTTCTGTTTAAGGATTAGGACAAAAGAGACACAAAGTTCATCATCTTTAGAGGCGTTGGTAGTTGTACAGGCTAGCTGTTTTGCCCTGCTACCAGTATTGCTAATCGCTAAGCTAACTGCCTGCCATCTCAACCTGCATACTTCACACACAGACATGAGGGTGGATTAAAAAACATAAACATTAAATTATACATTATTAAGGACAAAAACATTGGTATGGTTCAATCTTCACTTTGGAAACAGCAGTTGACAAAACAATCTCACCAGAAAGTTACCTATTAAGTAGCTGTTTAAGAGCTTTTGATCATGTGGCTCAATCTTCAACAGCATATGGTCAGTTCACATGGAAATGTGAGTAGCCTATATGGAGAGTGGTAAACTACATAAAATGGTATTCTGCTTTATAAAAACACTCCCTTGCTATGCCAGACTTGAGTATTTTCAAAGCTTTATATGGCCAGGCATCCACTCAGGACACTGCGAGCTTTAGGGAAACATCTGGCTGTGTTGATCTGCTGTGAGAGCACTGAGTGGACACCACTTCTGCTCCACAGTCGTTAACTACCATACCCACGTCATGTCACACTCCAAACAAAAGCAACATAGCTGCTCATAAACTAGTCCTATAAGCACTGTGAGGGCTTTACGTTAAAGAAATGACATACTACAGATTCCCTTTAAGTGTCTGCACTCAGGCCAGAGGACTTAAACAAACACACACACACACACACACACACACACACACATACATATCAATCCAGTTTAAGTCAGCTCACTCCAGGCGGATGCACGGATGCCGGTGCAGGTGAGGCGTGTGCTGGCTCCGCTAGGCGGGGTATGGCCATTCTGCTCAGTGGTCTTTGGCCCCGCTCTTGATCTGCCCGCTTCCCCCTTAGCCGCTCCGATTCCAGCTGACCTCCCTAAGCTGCTGCTCGCTCCGCCGCTCCTCCGTAAGCAGCTGCAGCAGGTGAATGTAGCCAGCATGCCCTGGCGGAAGCGCTTGTTCATGAAGCAGTAAATGATGGGGTTGACACAAGCCGAGGTGTAGGACAGCAGGTGAATGAAGGAGATGGGTGCGCCGGTCAGGCGGTAGGCCGAGCGTCGGTCGAACGCCTGCCACGCATTGACCACAAAGACGGGAGTCCAGCACAGGAAAAAGAGGAAGACAATGACCAGGAGCATGCGGATCACACGCTTCTTGGCCATCAGGTTGGCTGTAGAGCTGCTGCCGCACACACGGCCCACCATGGGCTTGCTGCTGGAGTTGCCTGTACTCTTTGCGATGCTCTTCTTTTTAGACTGCTGCAGGTAGCAGCCATCACTGTCACCGGCCTTGATGCTGCCAGTGCTGAGTTGTCTGTCTGTCAGGGGAGAGATGTGAAAAGGATAAGACTAGAGTGTAAGGCTGTATTCACACCAAGTCAGGCGTTGCTGCAGTCAGTGCAGGGTTGTGTGGCGGCATGGGAGCATCATGACATGGCCCATTTTTGTGATGCTTTGGTGTGCTGATTGTAGTAGTTACTAACCAGACAACCCGACTTGAAGGGTGATAGGGGTGGCGATGGAGCCGTGGATAAGACACATGCCTTTGGTGTGAGAAACCCGGGTTCAATTCCCACTATGACACATCCACCTGACTTAACTTAACCCCTATATGCTCAATAGGCGTGCGACCTCTGACATATATAGCAATTGTAAAAATATCGAAAATGAGGAAATGTAATGAACGCCAACTGACTGCAAGGAGATTAATGTTTTTGTACTGCTCTGGAAAGGTCATCACAGCACCGATCAGTTTCTCTTCCATCTTCTTCACAGTTGCTAAGTATGCTATAAGGCTACATGGTGAACAAGGTTCTTTTTCCAGTGAGCATCTTCTGGTCCAATCGCCGGCTTGCGTGACTGGCCACCGTAGTGTTGCGTTTCTCTGAACGTTGATTCTGTTTAAACTTTTTGACCTAAACACAATACCCACATTCAAATGAATGGAAGGACTGACGTTTTTGCCACAGTGCCCGATTTAGTGTGAATACAAGCTGAGTGCAACTTTATCAGCAACATAAAAAGATTTGCAGGAGCAAAGCCCTCATGACTTGGAAAGTTGGGGTCCTGTCGGTCACTTCAGACCAACAAATGGAAGACTTTCCTAAAGCCGGAGCTGCTTTTCCTAAAGAACACAGTGACTTGCTATGTTTTGTTTTCATACCTCTGCTAGATTTCCTGCTGGACACCTCACACTTGATGCCCCGGTAGAGCTCCAGGGAAATGAGTCCATAGGCTGTCATCATGACAATCCCAGGGATCAGGAAGAGTAGCAGCAACAGGGACACATACCTGCAAGAGATAAATTTGAGGCAGGAGTCTAAGTGGGTGAAAACAAGCATTCATTGATCAACATCAGAGGCAAACTGCTAATATTAGAAAGCCCTGAGGCTTGACTAATATCATCATTACAACATTGACATGATTGATTTTATTGCATTTGATGTGTTAAAAGAAGTATAATGATTATTTCAATATACTTTTTTTTGGAAAAACACTTTTTCAGAAATTATTATTTTTTGTGTGATTTTGTTTTGAAGAGTCAGATCTGCCAGAAGATTTCCCCAAGTGGCCGTCTCTCACCAGCAGCATCACCCTGACAAAATCAATAGAGGGACCATCTGAAATTAGCAAATGGGCTACTTAAGCTGCCACACAATCTGTGTGTTTGAGTGCATCTGAGTGTGAAGACACCCTGGTGGGACAGTGAAGGTATGATGCTCCCTGATGCACTTATTTTCAGCTCACCAGGACTGCTGGATGACATCGTTCGGCCACACCAGGCGGCACATGTGCCCAGTGCTGTTGTTGAGGCGGGTGAAGGGCTTCAGGGTGCTGGAAATGGGGTAGGGCAGCATCAGGATGAATGACACCACCCAGGTGGCAGTGATGACCTTGACGGCGTGGGATTTGGTCTGCCACGTCCTGGAGGTCAGCGGGTTGCAAATGGCGCTGTAGCGCTCCAGGGAAATGGCCACCAGGTTGAATGTGGAAACGCTTACTGAGAGACCTGCACAGATCAGAAAATTTAAAAATTCATGATGTCACTTCTTTGTTTCAGTGTTGAGCTCTGATTTGTTAAAAAACCTTAATCTGAAATGTTAAAACTATGATATATAATAAAGAAAGACCAGCCACATTTGACCAAACAAATCATGGAAACATTTTTTAAAAAAGGAATAGTACAACATTGTAGGAAATACGCTCATTTGTTTTCTTTAGATTTAGATCAGATGTTTGATACTACTCTGTCTGTACGGTAAAACCAGAACCATGCAAGAACCAGAAGATTGCTAGCTTAGCTTAGCATAAAGACTGGAAACTGGGAGAAACAGCTAGCCTGGCTCTGTCCAAAGGTAAAAAAAAAAAAAATACCAAAACTAATTGTAAAAAGACACATTTGTGTTTTAGTTGTGTTGGTTAAGCTAAGCTAACCGGCTGCTGGCTTTAGCTTCATATTTAGCAAACAGACATGAGAGTGGTATCGATCTCCTCATCTAACTCTGCAATCTGTCACTTGTATGTAAATCCGTCACAAGCCAAGAAATACTCAGGCACATAACCTCCATTTGACTAGAGTTAGATGAGAAGATTGATTCCACAGCTGGTTAGCTTAGCCACCAAACGTAACCATAGAATTAAATTTTTGCACTTAATTTCTTGCACGGAATGGACAAACGAGAAATAATGTGTTAAACATTGAGGATTAACGTTTGGACAGAGCCAGGCTAGCTTTTTCCCCTGTTTCCAGTCTTTATGCTAAGCTACGTAGAATCAATCTTCTCACAAGCAGAAAAGAGGATTAAGTGTATTTCCCGAAATAGAAGTATTCCTTTAATTAGGTAGCATTCCCCTTCACGTTGGTCTATTTCTCCCTCTGCCATGGGCTTTGTAACACCCTGAATGGTCAGCATCCTTACACCATGTCACTGTGTAGGCTTACTGTTGTACTTGTGATGCTATGGCACATGTTTTGTCACATTAAATTTAACTGCTGAGCAACGACAGAGCACATCCTGTAAGCATGTGGACGAACGAGGTAATAATCCTGGATGACAGCGCTCTGATCTCACTCAACGGCTAAATAGAGCATCAGGAAGTAAGGAGAAAAGTGAAAATCAGATTTCCTAGCGGACCTGTAATTGGATAAAAATGAAATATTAGTAAAGGTGCACCATCTGTAATGAGTGTGCCTTATTACAAAGCTTCCAGAAGAGGCTTTCTGGGAGATAGAAGAAAAAACCTTGGGATTTTATCAAAATTACAAGTAAATTAAAGCCAAAGAAGGAAGAGTTGATTCATATCCTTGAGCTGACTGACTCATCTCTCTGGAAGCTGTACGTGGCCTCTGCTATTGATTGTTTGACAAATCATTTGGAAATAATATAAATAGGGAGGTGGTATAAAAATTGGTAAGTACTCAACACAAACTCAGCGGTATGATGATGGGGACCGTTGACAGGAAGGATTTTGCATGGGTTCTAGACAAAGTAAGATGAGTGGTTTAAAGTCAAAGTACAAGCTAAACTAAAAGCAGGCATTTTGGTTTGGTCATGTCCTGGTTTAGGTCATATTTAAAATTATTTAAATTTCTCTTCTGCACAAAGAGATAGAAATGATAATAAAAACAACTTCAAGGAAGTCCATTGCTCCATGTCATGAGAGGAGAATGCTGTTAACACACAGTAAAAGTTAAACTACTGCACACAAGATGTTTCCTACTTAAAGCAGCTATAGTTGATATTTTAATATCATTTACGACAAAGTGAAAAGAACTCAACAATATGAAAGCAGTCGTTTGTAGTGATTATCACCTGAATTTGTAGCTTTCCTAGGTTTCACCGAGCTTTATAGGGGCTCATTTGAGCTCATTGTTTATAGCTGTCCCGCCTGCAACTGTAGCCTACTGGTTTATTTTATTCTCACCGCTCTCATAGTGTTGTTGTCGAGAAAGAAAACTCTAAAAACCCACTGTACACTCTCTACTCAGCAGTAAAACGGCAGACAGACACAGTTAGTGACAAGCTGGTGAACATAGCGACCATTTAGCAGCTAAAGAGGTGGTCCTTACATTCATCAGGTGGCCAGAAACACTGCTGACTCCAAATTAATTATTAAGTTGCTCTCTAACTGCTGGATATGTAAATAAGCAACTGTTTCCTAACAAGTTTGCTATATCAACTTAAAAGGTAACCCCAACAGGGTTAAATACAGGAGGTATTGAGTTCCCCATCACAATTCTGTAAGTTGTATAGTGGAGCATACTGAATCAGCTAGTGTTTTGAAAGAAGATTGAAAGTGATCCCAGAGAAACTTTCACCCTTTAGCAGATTAATGTAAAAATAGCTTTTAGTGTCGAGCTCTGCATATGCATCATTGTGCAAATTGAAGCTCAAACATTCAAGTAACAATAAGCAAAACCCATTTTTGATTATAGGGGACTTTAAAGTTCTGTTGACCTCAGTTATTATGGTCCCACACTTGAGATTTGTACAAATTGATTTTGTTTCCCCTTGTCTTTCATAAATATTAATTTTTGTTGTGTCTGGATCCTTCACACAGTCCACCATTTTGCTCAAGACTGCTTATAGACCCTGTGATTGTTCATGAATGTGACCGAGTATGAACATCAGGAAACAACAGCATTGAATTGTAAATATAGTAACAGGAAAAACTATTGCTGCAGACATGGCCTTCAGGTAAATCTACACTTTCTGACAACATGTTTCCTTTGACTAGAACTGTTTAAGCTCATTTTTAGCTCAAGCTCATTAAATCACCAGAAACATGCAGGGAAATGAAAGTTGTGCAGGACATGGACTTAGATGACTTCAGTTATCCTCTCTCCTACATATAATACAATTACTTTAAAAAAATAATAATTCACCATGGACATGCAGAGTGGAATTATTTTGCATGGGGCAGAATGCAATACAAAAAGTTGGATGCAAGATTTGAACAAATTTGGCCAATTCTTTTGCAAATGTTGTCATTTTTTTGTCATTAAGTAAAAAGAAAAGTCTACTTTGGGTGATAGTGATATGATCAGGTATTACATTTTTTTATATCTAGAAGGGCTGGTACGGCTGTTAGTGGTTTCATACAATATTGAATAGTAGAGACATTAATTGGCCCCTTCTTTAGCTAGCCAGTTTGATTGTAAAAGAAGATTTAAGAACAGAAAAAGATGACAATTAAGATCATTTACCTCAAAGCTCAATCAAAAAAACAACAAGCAGAATTCATCATTTCACTCACCCATGAAGTACATGACCAACTTGCAAATGCCAGTGCCGAAGACGAAGTCCCTCATCAGGTTGGGGATGAGGGTGAAGGGGATGCAGACCAGGGAGACCATCAGGTCGCTGACGGACAGGGACAGCAGGAAGAGGTTGGTGACGGTCCTCATGCGCCTGTTCCTCACCAGCACGGCGATGATGAGGCTGTTGCCCAGGACGCCGAGGAGGAAGATGAGGCTGTAGAGGACGATCCGCACTGTCTGGTTGATATCTGAGACACACGTGGAAGGAGACACGTGGGCACAAACACATAAACTCTGGATATGTCATTCTTAAAATGTGACCCAAGCGCTTATTTATATTCTTCCATTAATTTACACCCTATAAGAAGATTTTTCCTATCTAGTGACTTATGTAGGTACAGTAGTTTGGTGGTCAGTGTGTGCAGAATAGCATCTCTGGGAGGATCACCTTGGAAGCCTAAACGGAATCTCGGCTATATGCGGTGTCCTTGGATTTATTTCATCCATAGAAATGTGTAAGGTTTCTGCCATTTTGTGGCTTTAAAGTGTACAATTGCAGTTCTAGTCACTTGCCATTAGCAGATCTAGTGTACAGTGACAACATATGTGTCACTGCTAACATCTAGCAGACTTCATTAGCTTTATGGACGACCTGAGCCATATGCGTAATGCGCTCTGACGCAAAAAAAATGCCCAAAGCAGTCGCTCTTTTGGCATACACTGGAGATAAATGGGCTTATTTTGGAATCAAATTATTATTACATTTCTAAATAAAATCATCTACTATTCGACATGATGTTCCACAGCATTTGATGGCGATACAAAAAGATAAAATCAGTGTACCTTGAGGTTCAGTTGACGGATTCTGCTCGCTCTCGCACTCCGAAATATTCTTGATCCCGAAATTACACAAAATCTTGTTCAAGTCAGTAGAATTTATGAGCATGTCGTGGATTGTGAACGTCTCCATTTCGTGTTCTCTCCTGTGGCTTCAAGTAAAATCAGTCATACTGTATGGACAGCATTCGCCATGCTGTAGCAAGAAAATGAAAATAAATCGCCCTGAAGGATGAGATGTATAAGGATTTTGTTTCCTCTCAGTCGATTTAAAAAAAGAAGAAGATAATAAGAAATGAGGAAAAATAATAATAAAAGTATTCTCTACAAGTTTCCGTCCACTCCCAGTCTGGTGCGCTGCGTTCTCAGCATTTCCAGCTACTGACAACATGTGGACGGGTCGCAGTCTTGAGTGCTCAGCCCGCCTTCAGCGTCTGTGCAATTCAGCATCTCCCCTTTTGTACAAAACACCCAGTTCTAAATCATTGCAGAGATGTCTGCACTGACTATCCTTTCTGATTCTCTGTTAATATCTTAAATATTTTTAATTTCTACTAATCACTTGGGCTACATGACACAAAATGTTGAAAAAACTGAAGTGAAATTGGTTTAAAATCAGCCAGCAGTGTTCTGTACTATTACTGCAGCTGCTGTAGGTTATCATGCTTCCCCTGGCACGTTTCAAAGCATGATATTTCCTGCTGTGGCATTTCATGTGAACATGTCAGCAGGAATAACAAAGCTCATTGACTCGTGCTTTAATTGTTCTGATGGGTGGAGAGATGTGCTGTCATTAGTGCCCAAACAACGCCACGACTTTGGAACCAGTCATGTGTTGAGCTGCGCTGATATTGTCTTACATTCCTGCAGCAGCCAAGAAATTATTGTTATTGTTCGATGGACTCTTAATTAAAAAGCCTTGGGAAAGAAGCTGTGAGAGAAAGAACTATCGACGTTTTAAGGCTTGTTGCAACCCGTTCTTATTAATTGTGGGTAATCAAACACAATAGATGAGTGGCCTATAGTGCCTCCCTGAGAAAGGAAACATCCTCGTACTGTAATTCAGTTATGCCCCAGATTGAAATTCACAGGTGAAATTAGCTCATGTTGGAAACCCACATTTACCTGTAGCATGATTTTTTTCACATGTGCCAATTTGTGAATTTATCAGTGGTGGAAGAAGTGTCCTGAGACTTACTCAAACTGATGTATGTAAGCAATATTTTAATATTTTAGTTGGTTGAGGTGGAGCTATATAGTGATTTTACACTAATATTTTATAATATATATTATAATAATATAATATAAAAATCATATTAAGCTATCATATGTAGTGAAGGACAATGACATCTGAAAATTATCTGTATTAGTATAAATACCTAAAAATAGTACAGTACTTGAGTAAATATACTTAGTTCAGTCCCACCACTGACATGTATCACATGTGTACTGTGTTTCAAATAGGACGTTATGTTTAAAAATGTGTGCATTTTCTTTTCAACCAGTTAAATCACTCAAAAAATAACAAATGCTTATTTGTAAGTGTCATGTTCAACGTGTGGAGATGTAAGACTGTGGTTAATGATCCGTTTTTACTGAGAAATCTTAAGTTATCACCCTTTCTCGTTGCCCTGAAACACCATCATAACAGGGACGTTCCGCCCGGAACCAAAGTGTCTGTCTTGTTTCCCCTGCACGCACACTGACCATCCTCAGTTGCTAAGTAACCTCTGCAGGGGATGCTAATTTCTAGTGTACAGTGAATCAAATTGTGCCGTTTCAGACGGAAAACTGAACTCGCTTTGATAAAGAGGATGGACGACGGCACCGAGTTATCCCTGACCATCGCTCAGATCGTGCAGCGGCTGAAGGGAAGCCATTTACACTCTCAGATAGAGAGACAAGCCAAAGTGAGTGAGTTAGCATGTGGCTAATGATGCGGAGCAGGCAGCTGTCAACCTCAGAGGGACTCACCAACAATTTGTACTTCTAGTTTATTATCCTAATGTGAGAAGGAAGCACTCGAGCTACAAAACTTATTCAACTTTATTTTATCCTTTCCCAAATGTCATTTAGGAGTGTTTACATCAGCCCGAGATAAAACTGGAGTCCCTTAAAGAGGACGTACGCAGTTTTCTCAAAACGTCAGGTGGGCACGTTGATGACACATTTTCAGCTACTGTATAACACATACATCACGACGATTTTGCTGCGTATTGTAATTAAAATAACCTTTATATATATATTAACTATTTTTTCTTTCTGTGTGGTGACAACATCACTGTTTTACAGGCTGGGAAAGGAAGCTGCAGAATGCAGTATACAGAGAACTGCATGTGTAAGTTACACTCAGGCTAATGTGGTGTTTGTGGTGTTCGTACACACACACACACACACACACACCCACCTAGTATGAATCACTTTTTTTTCACGTGGTTTGCAAATGAGGCGTGTCACATCAAATGATGCATGAAATTCTCAATATTTAGTAACTGTACACTTTGAAAATATGCAGTGGCACAGTAGACACTCAAGAACCTCAGGGTAACCTCATGCCTACGTGAGATGTGACACAAGCTGTCACCTGCTTAGCAGCGCAGAGTGCTCTGCCCTCTCATCAACACTGAATACTTATCCTCTCTTGGTCCTGTTATTATACTTTGTTCTAAATTAACATAGATGGAAACAAGTATATCGAAAAGCAAATACGCACACACATACACTCATATCAAGAGCTATCAGGCCGCCGGGTGGTAGAAGGATGTTTATAAATGTAGTTACGCATAACCACATCCAAGAAACGCCATTAAACAATTAAAATACAGTTTACAGGTGAAACTCAAAAAATTAGCATATCGTGCAAAAGTTCATTTATTTCAGTAATTCAACTTAAAAAGTGAAACTAATATATTATATAGACTCATTACATGCAAAGTGAGATATTTCAAGCCTTGATTTGATATAATTTCGATGATTATGGCTTACAGCTTATGAAAACCCCAAATTCAAAATCTCAGAAAATTAGAATATTGTGAAAATGTTCAGTATTGTAGGCTCAAAGTGTCACACTCTAATCAGCTAATTAATCCAAAACACCTGCAAAGGGTTCCTGAGCCTTTAATTGGTCTCTCAGTCTGGTTCAGTGGAATTCACAATCATGGGGAAGACTGCTGAGCTGACAGTTGTGCAGAAAACCATCATTGACACCCTCCACAAGGAGGGAATTCCTCAGAAGGTAATTGCAAAACAAGTTGGATGTTCTCAAAGTGCTGTATCAAGGCACATTAATAGAAAGTTAAGTGGAAGAAAAAGGTGCACAAGCAGCAGGGATGACCGTAGCCTGGAGAGGATTGTCAGGAAAAGGCCATTCAAATGTGTGGGGGAGCTTCACAAGGAGTGGACTGAGGCTGGAGTTACTGCATCAAGAGCCACCACACACAGACGGGTCCTGGACATGGGCTTCAAATGTCGTATTCCTCTTGTCAAACCGCTCCTGAACAACAAACAATGTCAGAAGCGTCTTACCTGGGCTAAAGAAAAAAAGAACTGGTCTGTTTCTCAGTGGTCCAAAGTCCTCTTTTCTGATGAGAGCAAATTTTGCATCTCATTTGGAAACAAGGTCCCAGAGTCTGGAGGACGAATGGAGAGGCACACAGTCTGAGATGCTTTAAGTCCAGTGTGACGTTTCCACAGTCTGTTGGTTTGGGGAGCCATGTCATCTGCTGGTGTTGGTCCACTGTTCTTTAATAAGTCCAGAGTCTGCGCAGCCATCTACCAGGACATTTTAGAGCACTTTATGCTTCCTTCAGCAGACGAGCTTTATGGAGATGCTGACTTCATTTTGCAGCAGGACTTGGCACCTGCACACACTGCCAAAAGTACCAAAACCTGGTTCAATGACCATGGGATTACTGTTCTTGATTGGCCAACAAACTCGCCTGACCTGAAGAAAAAGATGAAAGACATGAGACCGAACAATGCAGAAGAGCTGAAGGCCGCTATTGAAGCATCCTGGTCTTCCATAACACCTCAGCAGTGCCACAGGCTGATAGTATCCATGCCACGCCGCATTGAGGCAGTAATTCATGCAAAAGGGGCCCAAACCAAGAACTGAGTACATATGCATGATTATAGTTTTCAGAGGGCTGACATTTCTGTATTTAAAATCCTTTTTTTTTTTATCGATTTCATGTAATATTATAATTTTGAATTTGGGGTTTTCATAAGCTGTACGCAATAATTATCGAAATTATATCAAATAAAGGCTTGAAATATCTCACTTTGCATGTAATGAGTCTATATAATATTAGTTTCACCTTTTCAGTTGAATTACTGAAATAAATTAACTTTTGCACGATATGCTAATTTTCCGAGTTTCACCTGTATACGTGTTTATTTTGGTAGTTAAATTGAACATCTGTGTTTAAGGCCTTTCATGCATTTAACCTGACAAACATCCCACTGGCCAGGTGAAGTATTGCCTTATGTTGTAAAAAGTTTTAAAGTCTTTTTTTTTATGTGCATATACTGTACATTGTTGGGAAAATGTGTAAGAACTAGGACAAAGTTTAAGTATCACACACTTGGTAGACATGCAGTTTGTGCGCAGTGTGTGGAGTTTTTGTTAATCAATTTTAGAATTTGGATGCAGAGTTGCCCTGCGCCGCTTTTTGTACACGTTTTTGCATTGTTTTTAGAGAAATGTACAGCACAGCACAGTGCAGTCGCGCGAAAACTCTTTTTAGCTTCAACAAACAGCTTTGAGAAGTGTTCCTCAACATATGACATATAACGTTGATTAATGCCTCCTTGGCCGTTAGTCAGCCCTATGCGCTCTTATAGGTGTTTGGATAAGGTTGAACGCACTGAGACATTGAATCATTCAATATGCCCAGAGATCTTGAGTCATTCGGTACGCCCGGAGCTTCATGCGGAAAAGACATGAGACAATATCTGCATGTGGTGGGGATGCGTTCTGACTCATCTGAGCTCTACGTGCTGGGCACTAATGATAAACGACTGCCTGTTTTTAAGAAAAATCTTAACATTTTAGTGCCATTAGTCTAAAAGCTTGCTTCTGTCAAGCACTTATTTTTTTTGTATTAATTGTTTGGGGGGGTAAAAACACAGCTGCATTTTGATGTATTTACTGTACTTGATAAACTCTTCTCCTATTGTACTTTTGTGTTTGCTTATTCAAGCCAGCTGCCCCCGAGCCATCCTGCGGCTCCTCCAGAGCATCTCAAAGAGCCGCTGGTCTATATGCGCAAGGCACAGGTCAGTCTGTCTCCTCTAATCTCCGTCACTCCGCGCTTATTCTTCTTCTACCTCTCTGACTCTTGTCTGTTTTTGCCCTGTCGAATTCAAAGACGCAGACCGTTTTTTTTGTTTTTGTAACAGGGTATCTGAAGCCAACCAAGTGTCTCTTTGTGTGTGTGTTTGTGTGTGTGTGTGCGCTCTCTTACACAGGCCAGCTGGGAGAAGCGTGTCCTCAAAAGCCTGAACAGCATGAGTACAGAGCTTGAAGTGCCTCTGGCTCGCATGGTAGCTAAAATATTGTCAATCACAGCTAATGCAGCGTAATTACAACAGCTCTTAACTCAGATTCTCTGGCAGCATCTTCTCCAGTGCAAAGACCTTCGTAGCATTGCCTTTTGGTCATATGGTATTGTTTTAACATGATTTTTTAGCATAGTGCATCTTTTTATTATTATTCTATTGACCCCAAGCTGACTGCGCTCTGATTTGTTTGACTGTAGCCCAGAGCTAATTAGACCTGTTAGCAATGATGCAGGAGCTGTTGAGTGATACCTTGGAATTTGTGTATCAGTTCTATTATTTGGTTCTGTGCACATGTGATTGTGTTCCTGACCAAAGAACGCCATTTTTCCTATGTGAAATTTTCAAGATTGGTTGTGTTTTCGCTGTGTGCTTTGTTGAAATCCTCTGTTTATGCCCCCCACACCACAGAGGCCCGCAACGGAGCAGAGGGAGCTCGCCAGCAAATGGAACGAGATGGGCACAGATGAACCAGGTCTCAAGACATTACCCAGGGGTTTGGCCCGGGGCAATCTGCCTTTTAAGAAAGATTAGTGTTGATGCGTGTGTGTGCTGGTGCATCGGTCATACACTGGTGTATTTTACATCAACTTAACACATCTCTGAACCTGATCTACCACTTCCCTGTTTGCTTTTTAACCGGTATTTGTCCAGGGAAGGTTTTCTTGGCAACTGGGCGCAACTCTGCAGCAGCTGACATATGTAGTGTAGTTTCCAGATGTTCATTCTGGTTTTCTCTCTTTACAAATAGCTGTTAGATTACAGTAACAAAAGTATTGGAACGATAAGGCAAATTCCTTTGTTTTTGTTGTTCACTGAAGACAGTTGGGTTTAAGATCAAAAGATGAGTATGAGACAAGAGTTCAGAATTTCAGCTCTCATTTCCTGGTATGTGTTAAACAACTCGGGACATACCTCCCTTGTTTGAATCCACCCATTTTTCAAGTGAGCAAAACTATTGGAACATGTGACTGAAAGATGTTTCTTGTTGCTCAGGTGTTGCCTTTTAGGTTGATTGTCCAAACATTAAATAGCTCTGCATGACTAGTCTAATTTTCATCCTTGGTTCAAACCTATACAGACTGCATTTCCTGTTAAAGAAGATGAACCAACATGAAGACCAGAGAGCTCTCTATGGGAGAAAAGCAAGCCACTGTCAAGCTGAGAGTAGTAGTAGTAGTAGTTGATGACAGAAAGATCGTGAGAGCTGTGAAGAAAACCCCCAAAACATCAGTAAGTGACATCACCAACGACCTCCACAGTGCAGGGGTGAAGGTATCACAATCCACTGTTGGAAGAAGACTCAGAGAGCAGAAATCTAGGGGCCACACCACAAGATGCAAACCACTCAGCAGCAGGAAGAATCGGAAGGCCAGACTGAAGAAGTACAGAGATGAGCAACAAAAGTTCAGTAACACGATCTTATGCTTACAAGCTCATCTGTGAAGCATGGTGGAGGTAATGTCATGGCTTGGGCGTGCATGGCTGCTTCTGGAACAGGCTCATTAATATTTATTGATGATGTAACTGATGATGGTAGCAGCAGAATGAATTCAGAAGTGGACAGAAACATTTTGTCTGCTAATTTATGGAGAAATGCATTGAAACTAATCGGGGGGAAGTTTATCATGCAGCAGGACAATGACCCAAAGCACACTGCCAACAAAACAAAGGACTTCATCAGGGGAAAAGTGGAAGGTTTTAGACTGGCCAAGTCAGTCACCTGACCTTAACCCAAAATAGCTGCATTTCACCTCCTTAAGAGGAGACTGAAGGGAGAAACACCCCGAAACAAACTGAAAGAAGCTGCGGTAAAAGCCTGGAATAGCATCACAAATGAAGAATGCAACAGTTTGGTGATGTCGATGGGTCGCAGGCTTGAGTTAGTTATTGCAAGCAAGGGATATGCCACCAAATATTAAATGTTATTTACTTTAAGATTATTTGTTCCATTACTTTTGCTCACCACAGTTGTTTAACACATCTAGATGTGAATACCAGGAAATAAAATCTGAAATTCTGAACTGTGAACAACAAAAACAAAGGAATTTGCCTTACTGTTCCAAAACCTTTGTAGGGGATTGTATATCAGGTAAATCACAGCCTTTGGCTGGGAATAACAGCTAACAGTACATATAGACATTGACGCCTTGAGCTGCCTAGAGCCACAGTAATTATTAGCCCTTGAGCTGGTTCAGTATTGAATTTAATTGCTATTGTCCAAGCGTTATAACTATACATTTTTATTTTTATATATTGCATTTAGTTTTAGATTCCTAAACTATGAAAGCTGCATCGTTGGCTCGCAGTGAACCAACCATTTGCCCTTTACGCCGGTAAATTCACAAAGAACATGGTATCCTTGTGTCCTAACAATGCTATCACATCTCAGTGGCGTATAATAACATTTAGGATGTGCCGTCCCCCGGCTATAAACACTTTGGACTGTGAATACAGAAGCTGTCCAGACTCCTTCAACGGAGCTGCGATAAGGAGCAGCACCCCTCCTTCCATCCAAACCTTAATGTGCCCTCATTCTGGGGATGACACAGCACTTGAATTTACTGCAGCGTTCCGAAAGACAGTGGATGGAAATCCCTCTTAAAGCGGCCCACTGCTGTTCTTTCGACTGTTTTAGGAACGGCCGGATCTGGCAAAGTGTCACAGATGTGTTTTGAAGTAGTTCAAGGCCAAGTTGGTTAAATGGACTGTGTGGTTGGATTCATTTGTATAGTCTACTTTTTATATCTGTTAAATCTGTGCTGAAATAACATACGCAAACATTGTGTACATGGAGCAGCTGGAAGTACCACTTCCAAAGTGTAAGTGGTACTGTCAACTAAGGTGTTATAGAGATACATTAATGTCTTTGTGTCGCTACAGATTTAAGTCGTTTTAGACCTGTTTACGCCCCTAAAGACTTTCTGGAGGTAAGCAGCTCAGAGTATTCAGTGTATTTTATTATTTTATTATATATTTTTGAGATAAAGAAAAGTTGAAACTTTAAGTATAAAAAATGTATTCCATTAAACTACATTATTGCTTTGTACACAGGTGTTAATCAGCTTGCGGAACCCGAATCATGATAGGAGCGAGGACATCAGCGCCAGGAGCCACTGGGGTCTCATCCAGGTTCCCCTCAATGTCAGGGACATTCCACAGCTGGTAGGGACACCTGTGTGCATCACTGTGACTGTATGTGTCTTATCTTAACATTGTTCAACGCATATAACAATACATCCTGTTGAGCTGCCCTAGGAAATGCACAATGGATTTAAAATCTACACTTTTTTTCTCAGAGACAGGCCTATTCAGAGCTCAGCCTGACCACTGGGCAATTGGGGATTGATGACCATGCACACATCCATCCAGGTATTCATAAAAAGAAGCGAATCCTCTTCTTTGTGCTCCACTGCAGTTAAAGGAACAGTGTAACATTTTGAGAAATACGCACATTTGTTTTCTTTCTGAGAGTTAGATCAAACAATTGATGCCACTCTCGTGTCGGTACGGTAAACATGTACCTGGAGCCAGTGACTGGTTAGCTTAGCTTAGCATAAAGACTGGAAACAAGGGGAACCAGCCAGCCTGGACCGGTCCAAAATTAAAAAAAATCAACCTACTGGCAACCCTGAAGGTGGGGTTGTGTTCTTCACTGTGAGGTCACCGGGTAACTAGCAGAGACTCTAGTCTGTGTGCTAAGCTAAGCTAAGATATCCAGCTGCTGGCAGTAGCTTTAAACTATTCCTCTAAAAGTCAGCTAGTTCAATAGTTTCGGCATCCTGTCACCATGACATGTGGCATGCAGGACATTATGTCTTAGCTAAATAATTTCCCTTTTGTGATACTGGTTTGTCCATTTGGCAGCCTAAATTCCTTTTTACAGTATTTAACCTCTGAATGACTTTTGGTCCTGTCGAATATATAGCATATGATGTATAATTGGTAATAAAGAGATGTCCATTCAGCACATTTTTCACATCAGACCTAAACACATTTATTATTCTATGAACACAGAAATAAATCTGTTTACGTAATGAACCCTGGTTTTTAATGGCAAGCATACCACTCTGGCCTCATATCTGCCCGTGTTCCCTTCCTGTGCCACATGGCTGTCTGGGTTTTCTCCAACAATATCTTTGTTAAGTCCAGATATTGACATTGTTACAGCCTGGTGTTTAGGCTTTAAACAGAATTGTATACACCATGTCCATGTTTGTAAATCAGAGAGATAGCACTGGTTTGAAAAACGGAGCCACTACCAGACGATTATTGATGCATCTGTTTTGCTCTTTCTTTCTGCAGACTTATTTGAAAACGATTATGTTCAAATTGGGAAAAAAGGTTAGTGTTTGGTTCTGTTGTTCTAACTCTTTAATTGTAGTATGTAATTGCATAAATGTGGGACATTTTCCCTACAAACGGATCAAATGAAGTACAAATACTAGACCTGCAAACAGGTAAAACGGGGCCAAGCTTTACCTGGATATTAAACCTTGTCTGTCTGGCTTGTGTTATGTAATTTTGTGTTTTATATTTGTACTTAATTTAGACCTTTTAGAAATCTGTTTTTATTTTTACATTAAAGAGTCTTTTTCTGGAGATAAATATAAAACAATCTAATTATATCCTCTTCGAATAAATCTTTCAAAACTAATCAAAAAGACCTGCTAAAGAGGGGTGAATACTTTTTATAGGCACTGCTATAAAAAGTAAAAAATGTCATATATATATAGAGTATACATGCATGAAGTAATACATCCAGTACATTTAGAAATGTCTGACTCAATCACTGACCACCACATGGTCAGCTCCTGCCATTAGTGAATCCTCCTCTTTGCCCCCCTCAGGTGCCTCAATCGGCACTAGAGACACTTTAACTCTTATCTCATTGCTCTGCTATGAACCTAGTGTAAACACCAACCTTATTATGGACACCAATCACACATCAATCGACAAGAGTCTTAAAAACACATGCTGTATTTTATACACACAGCTACAAGGCCCTGGTCCGCTACTTTTACCCTCTGTTGGCTATGCGTTGGCTGCCGAGCTGCGAGTTATATTCCAGGCTGAGTGTTAAGTGCACTCCAATAGGAAATTTAAGAGCGGAGGAGTGTGTTCGTTTATGTTATGACTGGCCAGCACCTTAAGTCAAGGACTGTGTGTTTTTGGCTACTGTCACAACAGGGATTTAGGGTTGAATGGAGATGTGGGAGAGATTGTTTCCAGCATGTGCCTGAGAGTTTTCTGGAAAGTTATGCAATGATCACCATTATGGGACAGTCTGTGTTATGATTTTTTTGTTGTTGTTGATGATGCATTTTGCAGGGTTTTAATGAAGTTTGGGCAAGGCCATAAAACATTTCCCACTCTTTTTATTTAAACAGTGTCATCATTTTTATGTGACATATTTGTTGTGGTTCTGTCGTCCCTATTGAAGGATGTTTTATTTCTCTCCTAATGGGGGTCATGCTTTCCAAGTTTTCTTGGAGAAAACAAACCTCTTAACAGTTCGAACCGCCTGCTCGTCACTCGGGCAGGTGTTAATTTCCCCAGCTGATTCAGTTGGCTCTGTACCATTTTGGATGATTCTGCTGTTTGTACATATTATGTCATTCTCCCAGGAAGCCACGGGGCTTTCTCTTGATTCTCGTCAGTCAGGTGGTTGGTTTTAAATTTCAGCATTGTTCTTCCAGTTTTTTAGCATTGTAGTTTTCCTTCAAAGCAATAATATGTAATTTTTTCTAGACAGTGAACACAAGTGACAATTATGGGGTAATGCTAAATGTTAAAACATTTACATTTATTCATTTGGCAGACGCTTTTATCCAAAGCGACTTACATTTGAGGAACAACATACAAGCATCAAAACAGCACGAGATCTACAAGTGACAGCAGACACTAGTAAGAGCAGCAGTAAATACTAGTAAGAGCTAATAGCATGTATGGCAACAATGGGGTAAATACCAAGGGAAAGGAGTAAAAGTTAAATCAATACAAGATAATTGTATGGGGATAGAAGAAGAAGAGCACAGGAAGTTCATGAAGAGATGAGTTTTCAAGAGCTTCTTGAAGTTTGAGAGGGACGTCCTGCTCTGATGGCGTGTTGTAGCTGGTTCCACCATCGTGGTGTCACAGATGAGAACAGGGACAGAGATTGCTTTGTGTGTAGGGATGGTAGAGCCAGAGGGCGTTTGTTGGAGGAACTCAGTGGCCAAGAAGGAACGTAAGCTCGTATTATGAAGTTTAGGTAGATGGCTGCAGACCCAGTAGTCACTCTGTATGCAACCATCAGTGACTTGAATTTGATTTGGGAGGCAACGGGTAGCCAGTGGAGGTCACTGAGTAATGGCAATGTTCTGTAAACGCTGTAAAATGTTCTGTAACAGTAGTACAAGTAGAGCCAGTTAGCTGACTGAGCAATGTCAGCTATATACGTATAGATATTATAGATATCTATAGACGTTTATAGATGGTGGAGCGGTTGTCCAGATTTGTGAGACTTCTTGGGAATTGTTTTCATCCTCGCGAGATAACAAACTCCCCACAGACTCCACAAAGTAACATCTCCTGGCCAAGAAAGTCATTAAGCTACGCTAACCTATAAAAGCATCTTTAACCTTAATTTAACCAGAATGTCCCTTGACACTGAAATATGTTTTCCTAGGGAGACCTGGCCAAGACAGCGCACCAGTAACAGTTGACTAAAAATAAAAACAACAGAAAGGGAAGACAAAAACGCAGTTGCATATTCTGCCTGATGCACCATTCTGTCATTCTCTTTTGTGTTTTCTCTCTTTTTTGGTCTAGTGCTTGAGGAGCAGGACAGCGCAGCAGCGCAGCAGTACAGCAGGCAGGGCTGCCCCACCGGGCTCCGTGCAGACCTGTGGGCCCTCATCCTCAACTGTACAAACCAGCCACAGGTACCATATACACACACACATACACACAGCTGAGTAGCACCCTGGTTAGCGGCTGTCAGCTGTCAGTGTTTGTTATAAAGCAGCCGTGCACACACAGCTGCAGTGATTCCCAGACTGCATGTTTACAATTATTACAGTCATCATTACAACTGCAGTAATTTTTGCAGTTAACGGTCGGTGCTTATTTTGGGCCTTTTAGAATTCCCATTGTGCTGTTCATTTTGTGTCTCCGGATTTAGACTGTACAGTAGAAAACCAACACATGGGACATCAACTGACCGACAACTTCTACATAATCTGTGTATTAGCCCCTTTCCTGTTTACCTTAGTTCACTGTGGCTTGTCCCGTGTGTACAAACGCCAAGATAATCAAATGCTGCGGATTTAGAACAGTTAGCCCAAACAGAGCAGCTGCCTGCCTGTGTGGCAAAGTGCTGTGTAAACGCCGGAGTACCGAGTCTCCTGTTGAGGCCAAGTCGATAAAACGATGCTTGTGATGTGAAGATTGAATTCTCCGTGGGAGAGGTGCAGGGACCTGACTGAGGTCTGGAGAGTGTTCGCTCGGCTCTGGCCGGCACAAGGGCAAACACATTAAGCAGTCAGAGTTGGCAAAGGACAGTGTATGCAGTGTGAATTTGAGGAGTGCAAAATACAGCAATAGTGAACTGCCATGACCATAATCTCTAAGATATATATATATATATATATATATATATATATATATATATATATTCAAATTTAAGTATTTTTTTTAGCTTCTTTTAATTCTCTTCCACTGGTGCTGTCCGTATAACTGCAATGGTTTCAATGTTGTACCTCAGCTGTCAAAATGACCATCTCTGTTTCAGTTCTCCTCACATCCGCAGTGCTGATCACTGCCAAAGTGTTTCACAACTGTCATAGAGAACATTTTTATCGCTCTTCCACACGGTTGTCTGTTATTCATTTATGATAACCTGTCTCAAACCGGAGACGCATTTGAGTTTAAGCAGGTGGTCGGGAAAACGACACCCTTCCGTTAAGTTTGGTTTAATCCTTCTGTCATCAGTGTCATAATACATCAAGTTGATTCAGCAGCGTCTGTAAAGAGGGCGATCTTTTACTTACCGTATTTATCAGAGACCTGGAACTAACACATTTTTGTCCAGAGTTATTGCACACTCAAAACATGTTGCATCTCTGCCGTTTCAGGATGTGATGCACTACGAACAGCTAATGGCTGGAGTCATACAACACGACCTGCTGGTGGACAACCTTATCTATAAGGTACACTCCTCTACACCGCCGCTGTTTATGTCTGTGAAGCTGCATAGGCAACCTGCTACAATAAATTAACAAATACCGAAAGCTTTGGATTTCTGTTGAATTTATGAGTACCATCACCAAAACATTTACCCTGCGTAACATAAATGTTGATACCAAAGTTGTTTTCTGGAAATATTTTCCTGCGCGTTGTCTGATAAGGTTCACACAATCCCCTATACACATTACCAGTGCTTCTGTTGTAAACAGTTGTTTCTAACATTAGTGAAACTATTTATGACATTTGAGATAAAACCTGAATTCCAAATGCTCTGCCCACCAGGATGTGAAGCTCACTGCCAGTAATGATGACTACTACTTTGTGTTTGAAGACTTCCTCTATCAGGTAGTATTCTCTCACAGTTCAGCTCTGCGTCTCTCATCACTCACCATACCAGTACTCTTGCTTAAAAAGCCCCTGAAAACTTCTCTATAACAGCAAAATATCCATTATAAGCAACAAAAATAAAAATTAACCTTACTTATTATATAAAAAAACCCTCATCTAATCTGTATCATTGTGTGGATGATTGTGGGTGTGGTTTGATCAGAGTTTATTGATGGTGCCCTGGCATTATAAGCACAGCACCCCAAAACTGTCATCACATTTCTGTTTCCAAACCGTGGAGGCTTGATTCTCAGTTGATTTTATAAGACTAATAGTACCTCTATTAAGAAGCCAGCAGTTCAGCATAGTTCCCACAAGTATCAAATACAATAACTGACTGTTCAAAAATAAAAGGGGACACGAGAGATTAAACATCACTCATGAATTATTTGACTGCCCCCAACATTTAAACTTGGGTCACTTCCCTGTCATGTGAGGAGGGTTACTGTATGGCAGCATTCTGCCCAGACAAGGCAACAACCTGTCATCATCAGCCTCTCTGGTAGTCACTGCTCTGTTTGTCTTCAGTGCCCAGCTGATAAACAAGAAAATGTACTCGGCAACCGGTTTAGTCAGCAGCTGTTAACGTGTCATTCTCCTTGGTGGCTAAGCGATGAGTACACAGGTGTAGCAAGAACAAAGCCCCAGTACGACTGTCAATATTGACTGATGATACACTCACTAGGCAGTGAAAGAATCCAGTCATTGTGGGGTGAGCGTGGATTCACGCCGGTGTAGTTATGCAAGAGGAAAGTGTAGGAAGTCCTTAAGAAGTGCAGTTTCCCAGAAATGTTTGAAGAGAAGTCACTTTGTGGCTTTTTATGATGTGTTCCTTTACGGTTTATTAAAAGAAATGCCTTTAAATATAGGAAATAGATAAAGAATAATTCTCCACCTGATTAGGTACCGCCACAAAACAGAGTTTAGACTCAATAAAAAGCTTTCTGTTTCAGACAACATTAAGTAGATAAAACATATACTGAGCTGTGACATCTACGGACATAGCATATATACACCCACTTTCTCATTTTAAACTCCATCCTGCGAGAATGTCTCCTAGTATACAATATATCACAAACAGACAAAAACACTTCCAGTACAGATGATAGACACTTAAAGCTGGACTGCGGGTATTAGCTACTGTCTCCCTTATCCCCTGTGATCAGGCATAGATAATATTACATATTGGGCATGTAATCCATACATACGCGTGAGTGTGTGTGTGTGTGTGTGACAGAGGAGGTTAGGTTAAACATCCTTACAACATCTCTTTGTGATTGTATTTCGATTATGTCGAGAACCATTCATCCAATTGACCTCACACGTGTGTTGCTGCGGACCAGAGGGAGTGCAGGTTCGCATTTAGTGCCATTCGGACAGGCGACGTGTTTTGAATTAATAAACTTTGATTAAACTAGTACAGTAGTACTAGTACAGTGCAAGGATGCACAGTCTGAACAAGCCATCGGAATATCTAAAAAACGGTGGTGTGAGCATGCTCAGTACAAAACCTGTGTGTTCCCAGGTGTTGCTGTGTTTCTCTCGGGACACCGCCGTCTTGGATCACTTCAAATACAACAGTGCCACTCCTCCCAAATCCTACATTCAGGGTGAGATGATGTACACACACAAACACTTAGACACACTTCACATGAACTCACCTGAATGCATCTTCACTCAGATGACCTTGTGTAATCTGTGTGCGTATGTGTATGACCGTAGTAATGAGGGCACACACACACACACACACACACACACACACACACACACACACACACACACACACACACACACGCTGTAGGTCTTTGTTATTGATGTCTGCGTGTCCGTCTATCAGGGAAGACAGGAGATGAAGAGTGTGCTGTTGTTTATCCTCCCAACGGTGAGTCTGCAACTTGACATTCACATCATATTATTTTATATAATAATGACATTTTCTTACTTATTCACGTAAAGTATATTAGATGTCAGTGAGCGTTTTGTCTGAGGACTAAAATATATTTCTTATCTACACTGATCATACAATAAATGTTTCTGTGTGTTAACTGAAAAACCATTTAATCATTTAAACAGGTGTAATCCTTTTTCATGGGTTTTCAATGTATGGTAAGTATGTTTTGCACCAGGTAACATTCAATTCTCAAGCTGAACTTGCAGGAGGAAGATATAACAGGGAGCGTGTGTGTGTGTGTGTGTGTGTATGTATTTGTGTATGTGCACGTTTGTCCCGCAGTGGCACCTTTGTGTTTCTTGTACAACGAGCCATCCAAGCTGTACAGTGTATTCAGGGAAATGTACATCCGCTACTTCTTCAGATTACACTCCATCTCCTCCTCGCCCTCGGTGAGCTCGCTGATCTTTGCATGTGACAGCCGCCAAATGCCAAGATCTGATTATTCACCTTGCGTGTTCATGTCTGCACGTCACCGTCACGCATGTACCTAACTTGTGCGCATGTGCTCCCGCAGGGTATCGTGTCTTTGTGCCTGCAGTTTGAGCGTCTGCTCCAGACCCACCTGCCTCAGCTCTTCTACCACCTTCGACAGATCGGGGCGCAGCCGTGAGTAGCCCGCACACCGCTTCATGTGTTCCTGTGTAGCTCAACAGTAGGCTTTGGTACCAACACTACTAAATGACGGGCTTATGTTCTCTACTCATCACGATGATAAAATGACACAGAACCAAAGGTGCAAAACATTCCAGTGTGACAATTGATCATCCTAAAGTCCTGAAAGTGATTTGATGGAAACGTTGAACGTGCAGTTAAATGCCAACAAAAACCTGTTCAGTGAAGATTGATTTCAGTCCACAGAGTATCGGTGAAACTTAAGTCCTTGCCATGGAAAAATGCTCTCCTGAATGTTCTTCCTGCACACGTGCCTGGCTGCAGTGACAAATCTAAGAGTCTCCACCTTCATGAAGAAAGTTCAGTGTGCTCGTCTTTGTCACAGCATTTCTTCCTTGTCCGGTCCATAGAAGTCACATGTTCAGCGTGATCTTTTTCACAGCACCACAAGTTGGCCATAAAAGATGCATTTTCTATCATACAACATTTGTCTGTTCCTATCTGGATCGTTAACTAATTCATATATCAGTAACTTCATATTTCTGTGCTGAGCTGTTGTTTCAGTGAGTCACATACACCCTGCACACAGACGCTTTGTGTTCTTGTGGCGCTGCAGTGTCATTGCAGTCGTACAATATAGTTGTGAGCTACAGCCATCTTGTGGTTAATCACTGGAATCACAATTTCATAACTTAAAGAATAAAAACAATGAAACACATTCATGGATAAAAAAAGAGATAATGGGGAACAAATTAAAGAAGTTTCATTTGAATGTCCGTGGTTAGTTCTCACTTTTCTCTCACTGTAGACCTCCACCTCTGGAAGCCATCACGTGTCAACTATGCAAACAGATGTGATGGTTTTGTCTCCAGGTTGCGTATCGCCTTTAAGTGGATGGTGCGGGCCTTTTCTGGCTATCTGTCTACAGACCAGCTGCTTCTTCTGTGGGACCGAATCCTGGGATATGATTCACTGGAGGTAGTTGCAGGTGAGAGTTGTTGCACTCATATAGCCCTGATATTTGTACAGACGGTATTAACAATCTGACATCCTCTTTTTCTTTCATTTTCTCATTCCACTCCATTATTTAACCCATCTCCCTTTATTTTAACCTCCTCTTTCCTCTGAATGATATCCTCTAATTCTCTTCTATTACTTCTGGTGCTCTCTGAATACCCCTCTACACACACACTCCAGTCCTAGCAGCTTCTGTGTTTGCCTTCCGCGCCGAGAACCTGATGGAAGTGACGTCACTGGCTTCAGCTGAGGTATGTCCATCTCGCATTAGACGTGTGTGTGTGTGTGTGTGTTTGAAACTCCAGTCCTCTCCCTGTCCCCCCACATAGTCCTGGACGGCTGTAAATAGTCGGTGATGACCAGCCAGTAACAGTAACTCAGTCTTCTGCATGCACATGTTTAAAAAAACAGCTGGCTAGACACTTAAGAACCTTCACCCTCTTACCCCGCCCTGTCTACCAGCCCGCCAACACTCCCTGAGTCTCCTGCCGCCATATCCCAACACCACCTCCACTGAAAAGGAACAAACTTGCTATTTCCTAAAGACATGGGCATGCATGCACAGCTTCGGCACTGTCACTCATGTTGCATTATTACACTAACCAGTAATGCCTGCGCTATAAACCGCTCCAATACTGTGATCCCACTATCATATGACTGAAACCAAGAGTAAACCATACAATGACAGCCCCCTCTTCCTGCCTTGAGGGTGAAGGGGTTAAACTACAATATGACGCATTGGGGCGACAGGCTGATCTGCTGCTCTAAGACGCTGGCCGGCACTATTTGCTTACTCATTTACCACCTGCCCCAGCAGAGAGAAGATATCATAACATACTGCTCCTTATCTTATATTTAGAACCTCAAACCCAGCGTTGAAACATTAAACCCTCTCTTTAAACAAGATAGGGTCCCTAAATTTAATCTCCCACCGATCCCAAAAGGACAGAGTGGGGAGAGGTGTACGATTAAGCAAGGATTGTCGCTTCCCAAGGATCCTGCATCATCATTATGCATGTCGCTCTGCGTGGTTCTTTTTTTAAATCTTGAAATATGTCTCTTGAGACGGGGGAGGGTGTGCTTTATGGCCCTTCTCATGGGCTTAGCGGGCTAAGGTAAGATTCCTTTGGTCAGGAGGGGCGTGGATTTAGATGACTTTAGAATCTTATTTGTGTTTTTGTTTGGCACACGACAGGCTGTCCTCGCTGACCTTTCAACTCTGAAGGTCATGCCGCTCATCCAGATCTTTCTATTTGCCACCGCCATCTGAGGAGCAAGGAAACTACAGTGTGTGAGTCGTGGTACGTACATGTGTACACTTGGCGGATAAAGAGATGCTCAAAAAATGCCATAACCACACCAACACTATTAACCATCCATCAAGAAATGCCAGGCTAAATATCAAGGACATCAAGAAATGAAGGAACACATGCATTACACACTTAATCTTGCACTGGTTCAAGCGAAAAGCCAAACAACTCTTTAGCGTGTATGCACCATAAATAGTGAATACCCTGTATCATGTTATTGTGTTGTTAGATATTGTAAGTATAGCCTACAAACCAGTAAGGTTAAAGTAACCTCCTTACGCCATATGCTCTGCAGGAAAGATGATACCCACAGCAGTGCTGGGATCATCTGAGTAGCTCGTCAGGTGATGAGTTGCATGGAACAGTAATTGTATTCCGAGAGAACAACAGTAACATCTCCAAGCTTGGCTAATGAAGTGTTAATTAGCTCTTGCAATTTATTTTGCGCTTTAGCTCCTGCTTGTAACACTATTAGATAATGCTGCTGCTGATGAACGAGGAGATTGGACTAGCTGCGCCAGCGTGTTGAAAAATAACAGTCAAAAAACACAAACTGGATTAATATGTAACTTATATGTTTAGAAGCTGCTGTGTGTACACATAATTTATTGTATTTATGAAGAAATCGCTCTCAAGGGACATTTAGCACCTCCAGTGCCAGTATTTATTTCATTATGAACATTTTTCATTTTTAAATTATGCATTTAATTCCTGAATGTATTCACCTGTTTTGTACAGTTTTTCAAAAACACACAGTGTATGTCACCTTTTTGATTTAAATGCAATCAAATAATTTTTTTCATTTATTATCAGCAGTGTTCTTTGTCAGTCAGTGCCAATGCCTTTCATCCACATTTTAATGTTCATTATGACCTCAAATAACTCTTTTCTTTGCAAATAAAATGATGTTTTGTTGAATTGGATCCTCTGGGTTGTTGTATAAAACCTTAAAAGACATTGAAATGTTTGACAGTCAGCACGTTGCTGCTTTATGTGAATATTTCTCTCAGTTTGTGTGATGGTAAATATTTGGACGGGGCCTACTGGATTTTGGAAGCGTACTATAGGTATGTCTACAGAAGGCAGGAAGGGTAAGTGACGGGTAGCAGCATTGAGGGACTTGATGGTCTGCCCACCCCCACTGCCTCCTCCCACATGTAGCATCTGCTCTATTCCTCCCTCGTTGCTGGCTGCCTTCCTAGCTGCTGCCCCCTCTGCGGGCTCATATCGAATTATGCTCGTTCTTCTCTTTCGTCTCTCTCTCTCTCCCGCTTCCTGCTACATCTGCCACCTGTTTACTAGGACTCCCAACAGCGTTTATCACGCACCTCCTTTGGCCCCCAGGAGTCTGTTCCTCCTGAGACAAATATTACCTACTGTGTAGTTCACTCATGCAGAGGCCCCGCCTGCTGGCTGACCCTGTTGCATTGCAGGGAGATGTGCCTCCTGTCCGTCAGCGCTGTGAGGTTGGCCACCGCTGAAAGATTTCTCGTTGAAAGCTGTATCAAGTACAGTGAACTTAATATGTGTTTGGACAGCAGCATGTTGCTTCATGCTCTCATTACTGATTATTTAAAATGACAACTTTCAGGTTAGATTTATAAATATATACTGTTCTTTTCCTGTCTTGCATTGAAATGCATATGAAATACTAACAAAATAATTTTTAAAAGATATACCTGATCAAAAGGAAAAACAATTTGAAGGTATTTAATTTCTACAGCACTATGTGAAAATGCTCCACCTCCGGTGCAACCTTTAAGTTCAAGTTCATGTATTTTAATAGTGCTTTCTCAGAAGCATTTGTCAGAAGATTTCACGTCAAAATCAAGTAGCTCAGTATGCAACAGAAGCCGAACAGGCAAAGACAGACACCTGACACTGCTGACCGCCAACCCTCAGTAGATACAAAGCAAAAGTATATTAGGAAAAAAGTAAGAAAGTAGAGCATGTCATTTCAGTGAGGGTGATTGCATGAAGGAACTTAAATCTGTTGGTAAGTGAGTTAATTTAATTTTCCTTTGACAAAATCTTAACTATCCTGTATCTTCTTTGTATTTGTTGGGCCTTTAACATGGAAACATAACGTGTTGTTTAAACACAATGAAGCAAATAGGCTAATACTGAAATGAACCTCCACCCAGTTTGCATGGGTTAGCCCTGACAGGCCCCATTCACAGTCACACACTGACAATACACAACTGCCCACTATACATTACAGACTGTACGAACAGACGATAAAATAAATGAACGTAACAAAATAAAAAAGTAACTACTAACAGTAAGTAAAACTACATAAAAAAGGAAATCTTTGAGAGGTAGCTTTAACAGAATGGTATACTTTACGACACTAGTGTGGTCACAGTAGGGACCATGCAGATTATCATTCAATCATGGTGAGATTCTCCATGTAGAAAAAAAGTATCTTATTCCATACTGAGTAAGTTATCTTTTCCAGAGATAGGCTATGCAGTGGTTCACTTCTGAGAGCCACAATCCAACGGGCAATGGGAGACCCTGATTTCCATTTCATTGCAATCCATTTTTGGCAGGATTTCTGTAAACTTGATGGAATGACTATGTGTAAGATTAGAATTTGAGAGGTTGCCCAAAAGGCATAGCTCACGATTCATTGGGAAAATAACTCACTGTAATTTACTACACTGCCAAGCGAAATGAAGGAAAATTCCCCCCAACTAGACCACATCCAAAACAAAGGGATGTGAAATTGGTGTTAAACCCATGTAGCTTGGAAGGGGGAGATAAATGTGAGGATTCAGCTGAATTAACTGATTTCTCTCAGGCCACCAAAAAGCTCAATTTAGTGTACGCGCAACGCCATTGCTACATAGGTCCTTCCACAGATCAGGAATGTACAGAAATGGTAACAGGGCTCCATAAACCTTTGTGATGTTCCAACAATTGGTTGACTGTCATGAAAAAGAAGTTTAATGGGTGACATCATGGGTAGTTTCCACCGTCCTTGAAGGTTAACCCATATTCAATTTCTTATGTATTTAAAAAAACAATCTTTGTCAGGAAGTTTATTCTTGACTTTGGAAAGAGTCATTTGAAAAACAATTCTTAACTTAAGGTTTAATAAGTCAATAACATTGTAATTGCAGGCCATGTGTTGGGCCTAATTAGATTCTTTACACTTACATTATTATTTTTCTTTTTATTCTTCAAAATACACACCCAAATTACATAGTGTCAAACCTTAAACCTTAAAATTAGCTGGTATCACTTGGTAGTGGTGTGAATAGTGGTTAATAATAATATCAGAAGGAATAGTATGGGGATGGGTGAGGGCATTTATTACTAAGCTACTATTATAGCAGTAGTAGTTGTAATGGACCCAGGGTTTCCAGTTAGGTCCCTGTAATGGCTAAAAATAACAGCAGCAAATGGTTCCAAACTAAAGAAAATGAAAAGCTATAAAACCCAACCGGTATTACTCTTTAACGTCACTTTATTTCCCGCGCTGAGCATCTTCAAAACACACACGCACACACACAAAACAGTGGCGCCTGGACCAGCCAATCAGGCTCTGCCATGTTGGGACCATCCAGCCAATGAGAGCGCTCAGCCAGGAGGAAAAACTTGCACGGAGTTTCTGTGGAGGATTGTGTTATTTGGACTCTCAGCTCGACCTAAAACACCCGGCGGTAGTGAGGTGTGCTGCCCATTCCCACTGCATGAAACCCGCATGGACGTGATGCCCCGCAGCTTAACAAAGCCTCGCTGAATGTCGCAACATTCAATACAAACAAAAACAAATCTCTTCAGTGGTGTCCGGCACGCGGCAAAATTAAATTCCCACCCTCCTCCTCCTCCTCCTCTCCTCCTCCTCTCCTGATGTCAAACCATTTTGCATACTGACTTCCGCCCCGCTTGGCTCTCCCTCCCTAGTCTGCATCAGCCGGCGAGCAGCTATTATGACAGGATGATACAGTATCACACGGAGCCACGACGAGCTGACTTAAAAACTTAATTTGGACAGTAGGCGGATGTCGTGTGCGGTTGATACAGGTAGAAGGATTTGGGGAAACGGAGGAAGACGCGAATGTATGTTTTGATGCAATGGGATTTGCTACTTTGGTATGAAGAGGCGGACCTATGAGACGCTGCGAGTTCAATATGCTGAAGCTTTCCCCGGTGTTTGTATACTGTACGTGGAAGTACAGAGACTATTTTCTTCCAACTCACAGGCCTACGTAAGGATTTAATACAGCAGGATATTATTTTGTAGCTCACGGATATCCACGGTAAAACAAAAAAGGCTACTACCATTTTTTTTGTTGCCTGTTTTTGTTTTGGACAGGGAATTCCTTTAGATAGGCTGCATGTGCTTTGCTCTTTGGCTGTCTGTATTTTTGTTTTGTTTGGTAGCTATTATTTTTTAAAACTGATACATTTAGATATGGGGGTCTGGCTTGTAGCTCGCAGCAGGCACCCCACTGAAACAGCCTGTAAAGCCATTAGAGGCTAGGCTATTAGTTTTGTTTAGGGTTCTCCTTTCAAAGTACTTTGGCTTCTCGCTGGCCCACGATGAACTATTATTTCGTGGGTGTTTTTCACGCTCCTGTGAGGTTTTGTGACAGCAATGACTGCTCCAGTTTTAGCTGTTAGCCGGTAGGTTTTGCAAACTAGTCTGCTGCGTAAGTTGGTGCATTTTCCAGGTGTCTTTTTTTCCCTTCTTGTGCCACCACCGTATTTATACTTCTGCCAAAAAATAAAAGACTAATTTTTTTTATTTCTTTTTTTTTTTTTACTGCCTTATTGATGTGTTTTCCAGTCTGAACGCGACATCATTTTTTTGTTGTTGTTGTCGGGATTGCCGCCCCCCCGCGTGTGGTTTAAATCCCCCACTCCCGGTCCCACGGATACGAATGACCAGATTTTCACCATCTTTTTCCACCATGAGTTACATCCACAAGGTACTGAATGTATTGCTACGTGGACTCGTCATCTATGCGGTACTGGGCTTGGAGTGCACTTACTCGAATGATCTACCCAACCACTCGTCTGATGCTGCAAATGTAGCCACCACAGGTAAGCGCAGTCCGTGTCGGATACAAGTGTCTCCAATTTACTTACGCATACAGCATTACCCCCCTCTCCCCCCACTCCCCCTCATCCCGTCTTCTTGTTCCCAATGGCTTTCTCGGGGGAAGCCGAGGAATACCCTGCGCAGGGGCTTTAATTGAAAGTGATGCATTTTGTGTCGACGTTGCCGAGCAATGCGTGACATGACAGGAATGCAGGAAGCATCCTCACCAGGGGCACGAGGATAAATTCACTGTAATGGTAGTCTTCAGGGATATTGTGGAGGGTAACCTGCCCACCCGCGATCCATACACCCGTGAATAATAGTGCACACACGCGCAGTGTAGTCAGTAGGCATCACATGTAGGCACGTTCTAAGATGACAGGTCCCTTATAACAAAGGAAGCCCACCTGAATATTTACACTGGTAGGTGATTTAAATCAGGCTGGTCATTGCCAGAAGGCCACAGGTGAAAGTGTGCTATTGACATAAACCTAATAAGAGGAGGATTTCCATCTATTTGCATTTGTTTTAACTATGCAGTATTGATTGGTTGTTTAACAAGCTTTTTTGTAGGTGACAGGCGCCTTAAGGTAAATAAAGGCCCATGCATGCAGAGAAAAAATGTGTAGAAACAGCTGTGTCTATTTATTTGTGTTTGGTTATTTAACAGGGACAGTGCAGATAAACATTGTGATATAGGGTAGGTGGACGTTTTGCAGCAGATATAATGTCCAGTAGGCCTATGTGAGGCACCTAGTTGAATCTAATTTGCAGCACATGTCCCAATTTAAATTATAGGTTAATTACATTTAAATCAGCTAAAGGAGTAAATAACAACAAGATATGGCAGCTCCCAGGTTAAAACACCAGAACAGATAACACGGACTGTGAGTAAATGCTGTTAATGTTAACATAATAAGTGACTAGTACTACTACTTTAACCCACCTGACTGAATCGAATGAAAACACCACGCTCATGTGTCAGTAAGATGGTAAAATAAGGTGGTTACTTATTTTAAATGTGGATTACTTTAATTTTGTTTGAGATTCTTCTTTTACTGTGGAAACCACTTGCTTTTATCTGCTCAGAGAGTACCTCAGCCTTTGTCAGTGACGTAGACACAGCACTCAAGGTGGCAGTAATAACTGCTTGACATGTAACGAGAGAGGACTTTCAAATAAATGTTTTCACAACGACATTCTTGCTGATCTGTTTGACAAGCCTGCCGAGGTTTGTTTATGGTTTTGCTTTAAGCTCCAAACAAAACACAGCTCCAAACACAAACTAGGCTTTAAAGGCGATAGTTCAGTGTTTTGGAAAATGCGATTATTATTAGCCTCTCCTAAAAAAACAGGGGAATTGGTGTTTTTATGCTTTTGTTTTTTTTGTACAGATTAAACAAACAAGATAAAATGTGTAAATTAGTGAGCTTCAGTGCTGCTGGTAGGTAGATTTTATAACCTGTGGACAAAGTCAGGTTGCCTGTCTCCCCCCTTTTCCAGTCTGTATGCTAAGCTTTAAGCTAACTGGCTGCGGGCTTCATATTGTAGGTATAGATACGAGAGTGGGATCATCTAATTCTCGACAAGCAAGTGAATGTCCAACTATTTTTTTAATTACCTTAGCCAAAAAACAAAAAAAAACAAGACTTATTTGACAAAAAAATCTTAGCTCAAGGTCTGCTAATTGCATCTCGTGGCTCAGTTGTCACAGAGATAGTACAGTTGACCGTCCATGCAAAGAAACCCTCCCCTCCACATATGCTGTCATGTGACTGAAATCCCACATGTGGATCATGTGATAACAACTGAACTCTCTCCATGACAACTGAGCAAACTCAGGCCACCAAAAAGCTCAAACCACATCCTAGTTTTTCTATTTACAAGTAGGTTTGTGAACCGTTCACCTTCACTTTGCTTCCACTCACACACCCTCACAGGCAGATTATCAAGGATGAGTTAAATAAGGTGTCACTGATACAAATATTAGCATTCATTTTTTTAGCACAGTTTCAAGGTGTTGTACTGCAATCACTGATAGAACACAGTTTGGTGCCACAGCTTGTAAATGGAGGCCTAAATGCGCATCTATATATTTATGTTTATCTAACACATCCACACCTGCCTGTCTATTAGGGCTGCCGGAGAAAGTAATAAACCTCGTCCCACACAGCTGTTCAAGCATTCATGAATGTCTGTTTATAAGCGTTACGCTGCTCCTGAAAATAAACCAGGGGTGTACAGTATATTGATTAATAAGGCAAAAAGCACACTTGCCCCTTTCCACGACAACAGCTCAATGTAAAAATGGGCGGCCCGAGGGACAATGTCAGCTCTCTCTCCCCAAGAACAATGAAGTGTAGTGCGTGCAGAGATAGTGGTGACTTTACACAGTGTCAGTAAACATGACTGCAGCGTTACCCATTTCCCAGCCGGCTCCATGGAAAGGTCGGCTGCCTTTTCACTGGTCTGACTGGCGTCAGGGGAAGAAAACACAAGTGTGTGTGTGTTTTTGTGTGTGTGTTCATGTAGCTCCTGTATGAATGCAGTTTCCTGAATTGTGTTTGTGTTGCTATGATTTCACTTAATTTAATCTGGGTTTTAAGGCGTGATATATTTTCACAAATCTCCTTTTAAAACAAGTCAGTTGTAAAACTTTTGATTATAAAACCTTTGAGAGCAGAAATAACACATTATTCCTTGTATGAAAAGTTGAATTCATAGGGAATACAGCGCACCATTGCTCAGTTCAGTACACTCAGGGGTTCTGGTGCAAAAGGCGTAGTTGGTCTGGTATGACTAGTAGCTTATGGTGGCTAATGTAAGCTAACATGCTATACAGTACACATGACTGAGTCAGTCTGCTGACTTTGATTCTTGTCCACTTGTGCTACTGTTAGTGTAGCGTAGCATTTGAGCTACATGAACTAAATAAACTGTAGTTTAGCATTATCACCTAAATGCAGCAGTTCAGCAAAAGTCACATCGTGTGGCTTTAATGATATGATTTATTACATCTATGACAAGTAACACTTACTCTGGGGTGTTTGCATATTGAGAAATTAGTCTTTGGGAATGACTATATTTGCACACCGTAATGTAATTACCACGCACTTTCTCTAGAAATGAAGGAAATTCTTGCCTGGCAACTGAGGTTAGAGATGAGGCTGTTATTGCAGCAGCTTAGGGTTCAAAGCTGCCATTTAGCACGCTGTGAGACTGGGGAGGTGGTGAGAGTGGTTGGGGGGTTAACATTTTGTGGGTGATGCAGCTCCCTTGTGATTTAGGATCTTCAAAAAACCAGGCCGGTGTATTGTGTTGTGTTATTTATTTATTTATTTCCCCCCTGACTGATAATGGTACCATAGTTAATAACTGTCAATGTCATTTCTGCAACTGCAAAAAGCTGTCATCACAGTGAGCATCAGCCAACGTCTAGAAAAGATATGATCTAAAAATAGACAACGGCCGACTTTCGTCTTTCAGGATACTTCCTTTATCTTGGACGAAAGATGAATCAGGCAATTGATGTCTGTGTTGCGGATAACCAGTTGCCCGTGATTTGAATTGAATGTCATGGTGTGGAGTTGGTTTTGTGCTGCTGTTGAACCCATTTCTAAAGTAAAATACATCTTTCAGGTATTTGTCATGCTTTTAGCAGTGTGTTCCTCGTTGTGCGCCTTTTCGGTCGCTCAGGGTTCCTGGTTTCGCATGCACTGCAGTATGCATTCAGTTGAGAGTTTTTTTTTCATTTTTAACATGAGCAGATGTAAACAATGGGAATCATACATCATCTCTATACGCCCTAAGGATGACCAAAACATGCAAAAAAGAGAGAATTTGTGAAGGGGGGTGGGGCGAATGGCGATGTGAACGTGGCCGTCCCCTGATTTAATGGTGTTGTGTATTTACCTTGTTTAGCGTTTCAACAAACAAAGCTCTTCCCTCCTGCCGCAAGGAACATCCAGTTCTCAAGTAATTTGCCTACTGGGTGATAGCGGTCTCAGATACAGGGGCCCCCATTCAGCACAAGCTTTACATAACTTACAGATACAGGAACTGGCTGCTGTAGGTTCAGTTACACGGATTCAGATGCAGTAAAGCAAACATGAGTAGGGGCTTTCTCACTTTCTACTGTGTATTCCTACATGATCTATAACTCTGTCCCTAAGAATTCATTCAAAGCGTGTCCAGGATTGCTTTGTTTATTTAGCAAAATCAGAGGTGACATTTGCTGTCTCACAGCAGAGTGACTGCATCAATACAGAGATTTGTTTGGAAAAGAGGGTGAACATTTAACTATCTCACCATTGCTTGCTTAAGTCAGCAGGGATCATAAGGATTTGCATTTTGGTGATACTTCTGTCGCTGCCTGCTGGCCCCTGTTGTATCAAACTAACACACAGGAGCTTGAGGAAAGCCAGGCTTTCTTACTTACTGTGGTGTTGGAGCCATTTGGGTTCGCTGCCGGGGGCGAACAGTGATAGAGTGTCTGAGCGAACGTGGAGCGAGTCATAATGTCGTGGTTCTGTGGAGTACAACATAACAGGCAAAGCCATTTCCTTTCCTTGACTAGAACAGATCGTTCTGAAAGGTTCTTCATGAGCCAACAAGAAAAACAACAGACTTGAGAAGTCAAACTTTACCAAAACTCTGCAACCACCGCTGAGACAAGTTACATTTAAATTGTGCACATTTTGTTACTTAAAGCTGCACTAATAAATATTTTTATAACAACAGTAGATCAAATTGTTATTTGTGATGTTCTAGAGAGAGAATCATCCCCCGACTCTGCAGTTTCTCTCAGCTGAAAAATGCTAAAAGTCTTGATGGTTGCAGCATCTTTCTGCTTGATTTAGTTTTACAGACTGCAACTTTAATGTTTCGGTTCAGCCTCGCTTCAAACCAGAGATGGGGACTCGAGTTTGAGACTTGGACTCGAGTCCAACTTAAGTCGCACAAACAGTGACTTCAGACTTGACTTGAGACTCGTCCTCAAAAG